TCAAGCAGCGTTGAGAGATCCTGGTGTCTCAATTTCAGAGTACTACTACTTTGGTAGCTATTCAAGGAGTTTTCTGAGAGGCTTATTCAATATTTCAGTAGGATCATAATCCTGATTAACTGACTGCTCAGATGACGTTTAGAGGTGGACTTTGTCGCCGAAAAACGTGTTAAAACAATTTTCTCCAACTCATCAAAGTAAATAAAGCCCAGCTGCTCTCTATCTTGTGACGTCATAGTAGAGAAGATAAATAACCCAAGTGCTGATCATCCAGAGCATCAACGGATCAAAACGTATTGACCAGCATTTGACTCAGCCTCCAAGTTTCGCATATGACTCTGAACAAACCATCCCCACTGTCAAATATGTTGGTGGGGAGTCGGAGTGCCTATATTCTCAAATCTGACTGAGCTTGAGCAAATTGGACAACAATTTTAGTCACTAGAAATACAAAGCTGGTAGAGACATACCTTAAAATACTTTTGCACAATAGCCTTTTTCAGTTTGTTAAAGATATTATAAAATACAATGTGGAAAAGTACAAGGGGTATGAATACTTTTGCAAGGCATGGTAACTTTGTTTGGACAACCATCAGTAAATCGTGAAAGTTCTGACCTCTTGTGTGGAAGTGGTTTTGCACTGACCCATACGCTGAGTAATGTGAGCTGGCATTGAAATGAAAGCTGCAGCTGTTTTCTTTGCATGCAGGAAGGAGATGAGCTCTTACCGTGCCGCCTTCTCACTTCCCTCCTTCTGCCAGCTGCAGTGCTGCTTGTGCTCTCCTGTTTGCTGATCAAACAAGACGGCTTTCAACTTGGATATTGATATTTTGTGTCTTGTTGACCTTTTCTTAGGGTTTTGACTGGAAGCAGCTGCTTCCTCATGGTGTCTAGTAGCACCATCTTCCAAACTGTCAGCTCTGATTTTAGTGCCGATAATAAGGTGAAAAGAAGATGGTGCGTTTACATTGCTTGTAAATAAGTCATGGTTAAATTGAATAGGTGGGGTTGAGTGTCTGCAGTGATGTGGGTGTTATTCTATTCTGTTGTGGTTAAGTAGGTGCTGAGCAAAAGCTGAAGCTCCAGACTTATTGATCAATCAGTGCGTCAACCCGTACCGTTCACGATAGAAAGGGCAAGACTGAAAACAGCATTCTTTGAAGACTAATGGTTTTTAAATCTTAGAGTAGCTCAGAGTAGTCTCTGCTCCTCCTAATTGGATGATGAAGACAGGAATTTTGCGATATTTAGATTGAGAAAATAGTTATGGGAAATAAAAATGAACTTATGATTAATTATCAATGCATAGTTCTTTAGAATAATATTTGTTTTAGCTTGAGTAATTGATAACGTCAGCTTCTAGGAAATTTCTTTCAGTGTTGTCATTTTGACACAGTCCACTAGAGGGTGCTACTGTACATTCATGAGCTGAGGTTCACTGGTATTTGCAAGAGAAGTAATGCCAGGGCGGAGGCATGTTGGAACAGAAACTGAAATCGATACAGTCTGGTCTGGGATTATTTATAGTTTTCAATGGCGAAAATGATGCAGAATGGACTTTATGTGGTTCCGTTTGTAAATATATGCTAGCGCTGCAACTAACAATTATTTTGCAAATCTAATAAACTGTCAATTATTATTAATAGATTACTAATCGGATAGCCGAATCTTCCTTAAAGTTGGCTTTTTGCTAAATTAAACCAGCTGAAACTAAAACTTTTCCACTTGAGGATTTCTGGATAGATCGTATTGACAGACAAAAAGTTTTTTTTTTTTTTTTTATCTTAAATGCAAAATGTTTACAGATTTCTTTTTACAATTTATGTAAAATTACAGCTCAGCGTGGGTCCCTCTGTCAGTTAAAGGCATATTTTAGAACCTCTATACTACAGCTAACGATTAATTGATTACTAAATTAATTGATTATTCCAATAATCGATTAATCCTGATTAATCCTGTTGATTATTTCAGCCCTAATATATACACACTAGATAAAGTCCTTTATCCATAGCCTAAATAGTGCTCTTTTAGCCATGCTGGACACCATGCAGCGTAACTTCTCTGTTGTGCTTGGAAGTTGAGGATGTGATGATAGAAAAGCGAAGGAGCTTCAACCAAGAGTTGATTGGATAGAAATTAAGAAGCCTGAATTTTCTAGTTAAACATCAATATTCATCTTGGATTTTATGCAACAACCTAATTTTCTAAGACAAAGATCTAAAAGTGATCATTTTCTGTAAGATATAATAATCAAATCATGTAAAAAAAAAAAGGCTTCAAACTTTTACTCTGAATCTCTATAATACACACCTTTCACTTTCTGTAATGAATGACAAAAAATATTGACCTTTTTTGCGGCATTTGAACTGTTTATGGGAATCATTTAAGCAAACAGACTGAGGGACATAGGAATGGATTCATGTTGGAGTTAGTCAATTGTATTTACACCATCCTTGGACTCACAGCCTCCAATATTTTATATATCACTTTTTTTTCCTTTTCGCATACATGACAAAATACTCTTATTTCGAGCTAAAAGCTGGATTTAATTGGCTTGTTTTATTGTTGTTTTTTTTAACACATACATGTTCAATATGGAGACACATTTCAAAAATTTCTGACATCTCAACTTAGTAAAACTGTTCGTCCGGCTGATAAAATTTCTCTTATCAATATTAAAAAGTCCCCCTGTTCTGTTGAAATATCTGAGGTTGGATTAAATGGCTGTCATGGATTCTCAGGCATCTCTTAATCCAAACAGACTGAAATGGGGATCAGAAAAGGAGGGATGTGTCTCTCTTTTTAAGAAAACTCTCTGTGGGAGCAATTACACAGGACCTTCTCTTCCTGTCATAAAATATTAATTGTTCAGGTTGGCTTCTCATCCCCAGGATATCATGGAGATTCTGTATTTATTTTTTTATATTTATTTAACTCTTAAATTTGATTACATTGACTGTAGGTGTATTCCCCTCTAGATGACTCATTTTAATATGTTATTGTTGACCTAATTTTAGCAAACCAGGCAATGTCAAACTTGGACACAGATGGGTAAAAGGTCGGAGTTCAGTCCAAATCCTGTTGGTCTTGGATGCTTCTGTTTAACTGGTCTGTCTTTGAGATCGATTGGAGGATTTTTTCTAGAGCAGCTAATTCCCATTTGGCTCTCAAATACTTTGCAGTAAATTAATCAAAAAAGGAATCAATATTTATCAAATTTATAGGAGACTTTTAATTTAGGAGAGAGTAAACAAACTTTTTTAAACTAGTCCAGGCTGACTCTTCTCTTTTTTTATTATATAAACTCTCATTTATTGTATAGCATTTTATTTAACTGCCAAGAAAAGATTTCCTGTTTCCTAAGCAGATGCTCTTGTCTGTTTGTGACAGCATACGAAAATAGATCTCTGGTTTTCACCCAGGTAAAACACACAAAACCTGTGTAATCATCTGCGTATATTTCTCATAGTTTAAAAATAAGATCAAACTTAAAAGACATGAGGTAAAAAATAAAACCCCGGTTTGTGGAAACGATGTATGTAGGCCAATAACCCATGCAACACATATGGCCATCTTGTCTACATCCTCTTTTGTAACATGTCAGGTCTCAGTAGTTTAGTTTTTTAGTAGAAAGTTACTTTTAGAATTTCCTATTTATTGAATCCAGCATCAAAATTATTTCTGTATGTTTCTGGCTTATTCTAAAACTTCTTCATTAGTGTAATAAAACATCTTTGTCCTGCAGTGAGGAGCAGATCATCAGTAAGATATTTGCTTATGCATCCAACATATATGCTTCAGAACTGTCTTTTGTTTTCTAATTGATTTTGCCAACATACAGTATTATTAACCAGGTAATTTTGCACACATGTTAATACTAGTGTTGCACCGATACCGATACCAGTATCGGACGGGGCCCCGATACTGCCCTAAAATGGTGATATCAATATCGGCGAGTACCAACAAATAGGGCACCGATACCTTTTTGAGAGCCATAAGTTTATTCAACTATTGTCACCCATTCCAGGTAGACAATAAAAAGTTCTACTGGATTCACTTTGTATTAGATTTTTTCCTGCTTCACAAAGGTAGGCAGCAGCTTGACAAAGCCATGATGGCAGTTATTTTACATTATTATTGTATCGGTATCGGCCGATACTGCACAGCCAGGTATCGGGTATCGGTATCGGGGCCAAAAAATGGCATTGGCGCATCACTAGTTAATACTCATGTTTACATTCTCCTTTCACTTCCTTGTTATGCTCCGTTTGCTGTTGGTGTATAATGTATAAAACCAGTAAAATTAACCTAAAATTGAATCTCTGAAGTGGCAAAATGTAAAGAAACATTTGAACTGTTCTGGCTTCTGTCAGTTGCTGGATTAAGAAATCCTGTATTTTAGACAATTAATCCCACAACGGTGCAATATCTGTAGGAAAACAATGTAACCTTGACATGCATTAATAATATATTTGTCTCTTTGCTAACGAATAACCCACCTTGAAAAGTTAGACCAATTTAATTTGTTTGAAGTATTTATGCATTTCTTATTTATTTTCATTTTGGTCCAGCGTTTTATTACCACTGTCACAAGTACAGAGCAACAAAATTTACCCTCTGCATTTAACCCATCCCCTTGGGGAGCAGTGGGCTGCCATTTGCGGCACCTGTGGAGCAGTGTGGGGGTTAAGGGTCTTTTTGCTTAGGGACCCAGAGTGGCAGTCTGTGGGAGTGGGTTTCGAACTCACATCCTCAGGATTCCAAGATATATGCTCTAACCTCTAGGCCACCACTCCCCCATTTTATGTCTATGATTAAAACATTTCCTGATATTTGGCCATAAAATTGATGCGTGGAACATATCAGATCTAAAAATATTCACCGATTCCAGGGATTTGTTTAATTTCATTAAAGCTTCTCTAGTTCATGACCCTCTTCATTGTGTTCATTTTACCTGAACCCTTGATCTCATCACCTTTTTCTGTCTTTGCTGTTTTCAGACGGTGGACATCCACAAGGAGAAGGTAGCCAGGCGGGAGATCGGGATCTTGACCACCAACAAAAACACAGCAAGGACTCATAAGATCATCGCTCCATCTAATGTAGAGCGGCCCGTCAGGTACATCAGGAAACCTATAGACTACAACGTCCTTGACGATGTTGGCCATGGAGTGAAGGTGAGCACGTTTCAGGCTTGCTTTAATGTTGCTAGGTTTTTTAAGATGTAAGTATTCTCACCAGTTAGGCTGTTGGTTCAGGTCCGATTTTTCCTTCTTTTTTTTCCCCCCACTTTTTTTTCTCCTTTTAAAGTTTTGCTTCAAAGTCAACCTGGTGCCGTGTCACAAAAAAACGGTAGCTCAATGCTTCATCCTTGACATAAAGACCTTTTTCTAGACTTTTGATGAGTGTTTTGTATTACTGAGGGGTTTTTAGTTCATTCGTCTTTGCTAAACCGTTTGACAACATCCAAACTGGAGGGTTTTTATTTAGCATGTTTGGCCTGTCAAACATCATGCCGACCAGTTTGAAGCCAGAACATTGACTACGTCGCTACAAAACATTAATTTCATTTACTGAGCCATTCCTGTTGGACTTTGGTTGATTTGCAGTAAAACCAAAGTGTGGTTGGAATCAAGTTCCTAAAGTGAACATCAGATTCTCCATCTGGATTTTCTGCCAGAGGGTAGGATTGATGTGTTCATCATGATGGTCGTAAAGAAACCGTCGCCCAGGGTTAACAAGGTATCACTGGAAATGTGATGCTGCTCCCTTATTTACTCTTTTTGGTCAGCAGTGTTTATTGTCTTGGAACCCAGTCACCCACCCCAGTCGATTTTGCTTTTGCACACTCATTGTTGAAGCATGAAATGTGATCTTAACTGAAGCAAGTCGCACCTGCTGCTCTTCAGACACTGGGTTTCTTTCAGTGACCTACTGGGAGAGTCATGGATGAGCTTTTGGAATAACTGTCCGTCTGCAGGAACGTTCGCCACTGATCCGTCTCCATGGTTCACTGGAGTCCCAACCCTCCCAGTACTTTCATACCGGACTTTCAGAGAGATTTTTACTGTGCCAGAATCTGGTTTCTGGAACTGCTCAAGCTGGTGTGGCCCGTACTCACACTCTAAAAGGAACCAGAATGCCGTACCTTGTCATTGTTAGATCGGCCAGTCTAACATTTTAACTGTTGCAATTTGATTGTATTGAGAATGTGAGCCTGGTCCAGGCGCACCAAAAGTATGACTTAAGTGACACGCATTTGTTTAGAAGGTAAGGAGGATATACAAAGTAAGATATTTCTTAGTTGATTGAGTTTGTGCTAAGTTCACACCACATGCTATTGAAGCAGCTGGTTTACATGCAAAGTCAATGGTTGTTGCACATCAAGGCACATCAAAAGGCCCTGCAGCGCATCTTGATGCATCTGAGCAGTGAAGCAGTGTCTCATGGGCTTCTGAGCATCTGAGGCGTGTGACGCGCCCACAAGGAGCAGCTGCTGGAGTTGGAAAAATTGAACTTTTGCTGATCGACGCACCACATTAACCAATCAGAAAAGCTGAACTGCAAGATTGCAGGAAGATACAGCACTGCTGATACAGAGTGCTATGATTACTGTTGCAAACGGTTTATTAAAGCCTTAATTGACTTAAAATGTCAGAACCTGCTGGTAAAATATGTTTGCATCTATTATTCTGGAGCCTTTTGTACCAAATACCTAAGAGACGCTAACTTCTACTTCCAGCCGCCATGTACTGTAGCAGAAACCCCCCAGTTGCTGAAGATTCCCAGTGACAGTGCATTGATGGTATGTGGGGGTCTGTGCAGCTCTGACAGCGCAATACTTTAAGCCAGGACCGTTATCTTGATGAAATGACTGCACAGGCGTTGTTTTCAGGTGGACTTTATTGCTTTAAAATCTATTAAAACTACTTTTTACCAACTTATCACAGCAAATATAGCAAAGCCGTTCTCTGCCATTGAACTCAGGAGCAGCAGAAGCTTTGGACATATCTGAACACACTTTACTGGATGCGCTTCAGGAGCATCAAGTCAATGCTCTTGTCTTGAGGCGCATCTGACCTCTATGTGTACAAACATCAAAAACGAAGCAGCAGGCGCTGTTTTGCTTTCCAAAGCACGTTCGGTGTGAATGTAACATGAATGTCAGGTTATTTTTGGTAGGTTGAACAGTTTTTTTTGTTAATATATTCATTTCTAACATTGTAGTGTGACAAAAAAGAATCAGAATAGCTTTGCACTTGGGTCGGTGGAGATGAACTGTGAAGGGATTACATCATACGGCTTCCAGAAAATGGCTCAGTTTTCAGAGCTTTATGAAAATGGTTATAGAGACAAATATGTGAGATTTTTGAAAGCACTTAGGCTCTCATAATCTTGTTGTAGAGTTGTTTGGATATCAGTCCGCTTGATCTAAAATGTAGGCAAGAAGCTTTTTGATGAGATAAACCTCTCTCCCATTAGGGTGGTCTGTTGGGGTCATTAGTTTACCCCGTCAGTGACATAATTCCCAATTTTTCCCGCGTCTGTCCAGTCTCTTGAGTGTCGTCTGCCCCATCAGTCAGACAATCAATGGCAGCCATCACATAAATTCGATTAACAACCGGCCACAGTTTCATTCTTGGGCTACAGAGTTACTCATGTCTGATAAAGAACAAGCACAAAAACAAGAACTATTAAATCTGTGATCCTTAAAACATTATTTTAATATTCTCTGGAATTTTCTTGCACGCTTTTAATGAATGGTTAACATTATTTAAGGATGATTAAATAGTTGTTTAGCAGTGACTTACAACAAATGTTTTGTCTTAGTAATGCCTCGATCCGCTTAAAGGCCGAAATCCAGTTAATATATCCAGAAATTTACCTTTGACCTTTTTGTCCTACATAGAAAATCTGATCTCATACCAGGAGGATCACTGTAGTATAAACTAAAATAAACACACGTTAAACCGGGTGTAATCTCTCTGGATTTTCTCATGCACGCTGCTGCTGAAATGCTAGATTTCATTAGCTTGTGTGTGGAAACACGAACGGCCTCACATGTTGCTGCTGTGGTCTTCATGATAAAACACCTCCTGGTCTGTTTACGTCACCCTCCAAAGAGCCAATCAATACACAGTGCAAGTACTCCGTATTAGTTCATGTTGCATGCGGGGCTTTCAGTGTCGACGCACTTTACTTACCGGCCAGAATCAATGATGTGGAGGCGGGGGTTGTTTAATCATGTTTACAGGCTTCGGTTTATGGCTAACCTTACTACATCTGCCCCAGGGTGGATTTTGGCCTAAAAGTTGGCAGAAGGTCCTGTGATCCGATTCAGAAATTAAAGGGGCAACAAAACAGGAACATCAGGGGAAGGGAGTATAAAGCTTGAGAGTGCTGTCATCTTTAAGGCGCTCTGTCAGTGACGTAATGTGATTTCTGCCTCCCGTCAGATTATGTTTAATCTAGTCAGCAAGGCATTCAGGAATCCAGCTGTGATGACGTCAAGGTTTTACAATTAGACATCAGATGTTCCCTGCGTAACAAAATCCCCCGAATGAAGTGAATCAGTGAAAAACAAGATTTAATAAATAATCACAGAAGTGGCCCCTTTATAACAGAATGGTTAACATTGTTGAATATAAACATGTTCCCAAAATCAGACATCTTGTTCTTAGTGTCCTGAAACGTTTACATTCTTATTTAAACCAGTACACCTATACCAATATTAGCATTGTTCTGACTAATGAGGAGATAATTCAGTTATTCGATTCACGAAGTTGGACTAAAACTTCCAAACATTTAACTTTTCCAAATCTAATATTACTCAATATCATATTTTTGCAACTGTTAAATATTAATTTGTGTGTACAATATCACAAACGATTCCATAAATGCAATATATTGTAGTTATATGTGAAGTAATATGCTTAGATTCTTTTTAACAGGCCTTGATGGACACACAGCATATATTCTTTTATTAGCCAAGATGCTAAATCTCAAAAAGACGGAAAAGTAAATTAGCCATGAAACCATGGGTTCATTGCTATCATTGTTGCATATTTGCCTAATATTGTTTAGTCCCAAAATCCCCTAAATTTCATGTTTTATTAAAAGCTAAAAAGGATAAAATAGTAACTTTGCTTTATTCTCTACAGCCTTCTTATTATCTGCTGTAAGTCTCACTCTCACAACTTAAATAATCTTGTGTTACCTATTGTCCATCCTGAGTTCATCTTTAACACCTTGCTAGTACTTAGAGAGTGTTGTTCAAGGCACTTATTTATTGGACAGTCAGAGATTAAAGAAAAAAAAAAAGAACAAAGCTCAGATGTATAAACCAATGTGATTGGCTTGTTGTACAGGCTGCCTTCTGTGTGAACACTTGATACAGATGATCCTGCCTGGGGTGATTAATTAAAACTTCAAGATGATTGGAAAGAGGCGAAAGTTTAAGGAAATAAGCAACAATCTATTGATTGCAATGTTTACATTATGTGTTTTAATGGCATGTTTTTTTTCTATACATTGATGCCTACAAGTGTAACTTGAAAGATTAGGTTACCAAGATTGCTAATGTTCAATTTACTTTTAATATGGAGGGAGCTGTCATATAGTCACTCCATTAGATGTTTTGGACAGTTCTTCTTCATGTCATGGATTGCTTATTCTTAGCCAGTTTGACAGATCACACACAAAGGCTGAAGGAAAGCTAAGGAAATGTTTCCTTTGTTTTCATCCATTGACTGTGGTTAGGCTTGAGATGTATTCTACTTTATAAACTCACTAAATAGATACTAGTCCGTTTTCCACTTGACTTGATGGTCCTAAGTGACGTTAACTTGGAATCAGCTGAGCATCAGTGCAGTCATGATTATTATATTTTTTAAAGGATTATGAAAAAGGAACATTAAACGGAGCATCTCGCCAAATAACCTGGAGCACATTTACATAAAAAAGGTAGTAATTTGAGTAATAATTAAGTTTTAATTGCCTAGCAGTTGCAATAAACTGATTTATAATGATTTGGGAAAATTCAGCTAGCTACTAAGTAGGATTTTCAATACTGATGTGATATATGGCAGCCCCCTGTGACAGCTGGGAGGAAGACCTAGGCAACTATACTGTAAGTAGTTTTTTTCTTAGAAATATTTGTTAGTGTAATCTCATAAAGCAAACATTAAACTAGAAACTTCAGCTTTCTCTTCATCAGCCTCCTGCGGCTGCGTCTGTCTGTTCTGCTAATTAAAGCAGTACCCACAGATGATTAGAAACACATCCATCCACAGATATATAGGTGAGCTGATGGTTAGTAACAAACAACTGAATCTGCACTCAGTGGCATTTCTAGGTTTTCCTGTTTCCTCTCTGAAAGTGTTGGTCAGATGAGGAGGTCTGACGTCACCCTTAAGGGCATATTAGACTTCTGCAACCGCACACATCAACTGTCGCTTGGGTCTGGACGCAAACCAGTTTTGCTGGTATGCTTCTGCACCGTCGGTCTGGAATTTCTAGGGACGCACAGCAGTTTCCTGCCAAAGTGCTAGGGGGACCCTATTCAAGAACTCGCGAGAACTTCGGTGGAGCTGGCGAGAATGTTTATCTTCCAAAACAACAATGGCGCGTCTGCAAGATATCAGATATAAGATGGATCTAGAGTTGCTAGACATCAAAGAGGAACAGGTTATGTTAATGGAGCGAACCTCCTCGATTAACCTTCCGTCATAGTTTTCCATTGTTCCTCGGTTTTAAAAAAATGGCGCGCCCCGGTACAGAATCGAGAATGACAATCACACAGACAGCCAAAAAGGCATACCAAGGACCAATCACAGCTGCTTTTTGTCTGCAGACTTCCGCTTGAGGTCTGGGCGGGTTTATGAGCATCAGACGCGTAGTCAGGATTTTTTTTGAGGTTGCAGAAGCTCTGTGCAGGGGGCGTGGTTGCGCACAGAGACAGATTTGATGGTTGCAGAGGCTATGCGTCAGAAGCATAAATTGGCCTTTAGTCCCTAAGACCCAGTGTCCTGCATGTTTCCCTGCTTCAGCACACCTGGTTTCCATTGATGCTTGATAAACACCCTTTTACTGAAAGGCAATCCTCTGATTTCGGTATGCTAAAGCAGAGAGCTGCAGGACACTAGCTCTTGACTTTTTTGTATGTTGTCTGTAACTGATGCTGTAAAATTTAATACCCACAAAAAGTGCCTCTAACTGGATTGATCTCCACCGTGTAGCACCAGTCTAGCAGTGTTTCATTAGCTTTAACTGTAAAAACAACATTACCACATTAACAGCTCCACTGACCCTTAGTAGTGTCTGTAACTTTCATTGCATCTCAGTTAAATATATTCAAACTCAACATGCTTGTTCCTTGTGCACCCGATAATGGTTTTAATCTTAGCCTGTCTGTCCCTAATTCATCACTTAGACCTATCCATCAAATTCAGAGGAACAGATGCAGCATTTCCCAGGAAGATGAGGCATCAAGGCTTCAGCATTTCTGACATGACCTAGATAGTAAATTGAATCTTTTTGTGCGCTGATGAGAGAGATAAATATGACTGTGAAATCTGCAGCTCACAGCTGAATAAAACGGCTTTTTGTGAGGAAACAGAAGATGCTGCTGGTTTCTTCAGTTTTGTCTCTCTCTCTCATTCTGGTGCAATAATCCTGATAGAAGAGGCTCTTGACGAACTACTTACCTCTGTTTTTCCCAATCTACTAATTATTGGCTCTTCAGCCAACAAATGCACCAGGATTTATCCTGAAGCTGCCAACAGTGTAACATTCAGACATAATTTCCCGGTCTTTTTATTCCATCGCATTAGTTGTATATTTATAGTTAACAGTAATGTTTTATAGTAATGTATTTACATGTTTTCCTGATATCGTTAAACCATTAAAGTAATGACGGTTATTGCATTCTCATGTCGGCAATTCTTATCGGTAAATAAAATATCGGTACAGAAAAGCCTATGCTGAAGATTTTTTTTAGAAAATCGTTCAGGCAGTGTATATGATCTACAGCCGTACCTCTTTAGTGTTTCCAGCTTATTTTTGTTTTAGATTTTTTAGGATGAGCTGCTTTTGATATATATATTTTTTTTCTATTGCTTTATTGGCAGAAAGAGAGGCTAACTTTAAATGTTTTAATGTATAAAAACATCAACAACAAAATGCTCCTTTGGGTCCCTTTTTATTTCTTTTTCTTTTTACTTATGGTGAAGGAAAATGTTTATTTTTTGCATATCTGACCGGCTGCTCACAGGTAACGTCATTAACTGAGTAATCAGGTCTTGTATCCCTCGAATTGTTCGGATCTAGGTGGGTTAACCCTTAAGGTTATCCCCTTTTAATGAGGCTGTTTATTCAATTTGAGTGAGATTTTTTTAGGGCTGCAGCTATCATCTTGCTAACAGCTTAATGTGTTAGTCATGATTATTTTTTATATATATATATATATATATATATATATATATATATATATATATATAATCTAATCGCCAAAGGTGCTTTTAGGGAATGTTATTGCTAGATCTGAACATGATGAATTTAGAATATGCTTCTTGAGGAGTTCTGGATGGAGCATGTTTATAGAAAGTATTTTTTAATGTAAAATGCAAAATATGTATTTGTTCAAGTCTGGCTTTTTTCCTCATAAATGACTTGTAGAGTCTATACTTCAATTAACTGTTAAATATTAAATTAGTTTAGAATATTTTGAATTATTAGTTGTTCAAAATTGACACCTAATTTTTTAGAGTATGACTTTTGGAATTGGGTATGATTCTGAATAAAGGGACTTATGTGTTTTAGTCTGGTTTCAGAGCATCTACCTGCTCACCCAAATGTTTACTAGGAGTAAATAAAGCAAGGAATTAATTATTTTCCTCAGTGGCTTGTACTTTGACTTCTGTCCTTGCAGACCTGGCTATGTTGACATGCCCTCTCTCTGTCTCTGTTTTTCCTCCTATTTTCTCCTTCCATGCTAAGTGGCTAAAAGCCAAGGTAAGTCTAGTCTGTTATATGACCCGTTTTATGGTTTAATCATTTACTCGTTAACCTCACCTCCACTTCAGATCCCTCTGACTGTGAGTAATGTTGTCTTTTCCCATGTTAACCAACCCATAGTCCTCCCTGTGGGGAAGAACATCCCATAGTACCCTGCCTGTCCCTGTACCAACTGTGTCATAATGTAGCTGTGATGTAGGACTTCTCCACCATAAATGTTTCTGTGCTAAACTAGTATTGGCACAACAGCCTGGTTCTAAAGATAACATCAAATAATAGATTTGATCCTCTTTCATCAAAAAGCCAAACCAAATAGGAGCCAAGGTAATTGGTTAATTGGTTTTTGACTTCTGTGGACCCCCCACCAGTGTTACCCAGTGAATTATCCCTGTTTTTAAATTCTTGGACCATATTCACACCCTTGGCTTTCAAACCTGGGCTGCAGTTCCTGTACATTTTTTTCTGGTCCCTTAAATAGACAAATGTGTCAGACTTACCAGAAATTTGAGACTGACACAAATAAATACACACTTCCTAATGAAACCTTAAAATAGTCACTTCGTTCATCTAAAGAGGAAGTTGTCATTATTCAGTAATGTTGCTCAATTTGATATCCGTGACCTTTTAGGTTACAAAGCATGTTTTTTATTGGAGCATTTCTGGCTGCCAGAATCTGGGAAAAAGGAAGTCAGATCAAGTTTACTAAAGCCTCTTTCCCACTGAAAATACCAGGTTAATGTTTGTTTTTCAAACATGGGTCGACCCGCTAACCAAAAATGATCGGTGTCTTAAGACCTAGCAGGCAAGCTTCATTGCCTCTTTCCCCCCGCGGCAGCGTGTCTGCTTAACCCAGATCTGGTGTTTCCACACCCAGGCGATTTTAACGCAGGTTGCTTGCTAAGTCGTTTACCCAGGTAGACTCCAGCAGTGAGCTGTTCCCAAGGTCACTAAAAGCCAATTGTTCCCAGGTTTATACGTTTTTTTTCATCCAGTGGGAAAGGAGCATAACTAGTACTATGGATGCACATGTGTGGACTTTAGCTAGGTAAGAAATCATATAAAGGATCTCTGTATTCACACAAACATTTCAAAGAAAAATGTAAAACCGGGTTTAATTGATGTGATCTAAAAGATAAAGCTAATTATTACTCCTATTATGTAATCTTAGCCTTTTATTTTGAAAAGCCTTCAGTTTTAACATGAGCCGATATTTCTAAAGATTGAAACTTGTCTTTGTGAATGAGAGGAAAGTATAGATGCATCCTTTCAGCTAGCTAACCAGGTATTTATGGCAACATGTGGGGGAGGGGCAGCACCGTGTCCCGCCATGTTATATACAAACTTTCTGGAATCTTTTTCATTAAAAAAATGTTATACTTAAGTGGTTTTGAAGCTAAACTAAAGCATTAAAAGACCTTATGAACCCTGATTTTTGGCCTTGCCTCGTTAGTACACAGAAATGCACTAAATATTCCTCCTCAAATGTCCAAAACAATCAATAGGTAATCTGTGATGGTAGCATTCATCTGATTAAAGTTGATGCCTTGATGATGGAAGCTGACCTGAATCCATGTAATCGCAATGTACTAGCTTAGCACTATAACTGCTTTGGTGGAAAAAACAAAAAACAAAAATTCTCCCTGAATGTTTTGTAGATGACGTAAATCTTACAGGCTTCTCAGATGGCTCAGATACACTCCAAACATGTTATTAATATTACAAAACCACACTGTTACAAGCTTGGTTGGGATTATGTAACCGCAGGATCATACGGAGTAAAATATGTCTCTATGGAGATGTCGTCTGAGCAGCCTGTAATGTTTCATTTCACTCACATAAGTACTCATCATCCAATTTTGGTTGCAGGAATCTGTTTGTAAAATGAATGAACTGTTTTGTTTTGTCTTCTTTAACCACAGCAACATGGAAACAATCAGGCAGCCAGAGCTGGAACCCTATCGAGGACCAATCCGCCGACACAGAAGCCGCCCAGTCCGCCGATGTCAGGGCGTGGCACGCTTGGGTAAGAAGCCCCGCTTTTTGTTCCCTCAGAGTACCACTAATCCTTTAATTACTGACTGGCCAATGAGTATAAATAGGAGCAATCTTCTGCAAAATTTCTTTTTTTTTTGTGCTATTTTTCGGGATCTTTTCTGTCTGAAGAGTTCTCATCAGCACTAATCATATATTTATCATGAAGCAGTTTGGTTCCAAAGGGAGAAACAGAGCTGATAAATCCGTTTATGTCCTTCAGTGTTCTGACGGGTGGGAATAACCCAGCGGGCAGGACTCGCATCATTTGTCATTGGTTAGAATATGCGGTGATAATGTTTTTGAGACTTTTATGGCTCATATAAAGGACGTTTTTTTTTTTTTTTTTTTTTTTTTTTAGGGTTTAGCAATGATATGAGTCAGTGATTTGTCCTGTGATTATCATAAGGTTGCAGTAATCCATAGAGGCTCAGCAGAAAAATATGTTCACCCTTCCAAGATACAACTGATGGGATACTTGAGGACGTTTCTATGCAAAACTTGTAGCACTTGTTCGAATATGTTGCCCTGGCTTACCATGCTCTTGATCAACACACATTTTTGTCAAATTTTCAGCCATTGAGCTGTTGATTTGAGATGCAACTAACACATTTGGAGGTAGTTAATTATCCTACCCATCACCATGATATTCATTAAGCTATTTTAAAAGCCTTTGCAGTAATTTTCCTGTTTGAATTGTCTATTTGTTGATTCTAGCTAAAGTACAACAACATTGAGCTCACTGCTTAACCCCAGCAATAAGAGCTCAGCATGATGTTGCCACCTCTATGCTTGGCAGAGAGTTATTGTGAGCAGCTCCAAATCTCAGTTGCACTTCGAGATGTTGATTCGGAAGCAGATGCTCTGGATTTTATTTGCATTGGCTTGAATTCAATTATGCTTTATTAATTCCCGAAGGGAAATTCAGTTTCCCTGAAGGGTTTGCTCCCTGATGTTCCAGCAGTTCCCTGTTCCTGGCAGGCTAGCCCTGGATGTAACTGGTTTCCTTCCATCTGAGAGGGACAGTTAGTCTCAGATAGTAGAAAGATGGACAAAGTTCGATGTTCCAACAGGTGTTCAAACACGTCAAATAGGAATCTTTAAAACCAAGGCGTTTAGATAAGATCAATTAAGCTTTTCTATCATAGGCCTAGAATTTAGCTAGAAGTTTTTTGATGGATAGAAGGAGCTGTTGGTTTTAAGTTTAAGTTAGGTTTTATAAATACATTTTCACCATGTCTGCACTAGTTGTAAAAGCCTTAATACAAAACATTTTACATCAAATTCTTGATTTTCCAAAATGATTGACGTCATACCTTGTATTTTCTGGCCTCCCTTATAAAAAAAGAAGCTCATATTAATCATGAAATTTCCCTAAGATATGGTGGTTTAGAAGTTCGTTTTTAGCAGTAAAATCCAGACTGTTTTCATTATTTGGAATTAATCTTTACCTTTTCCTTTACTACAAATTTTCTGGCCCCTGTAGACGCAGCACGCCCTACAAGACGCTGGAGCCAGTGAAGCCGCCGACGGTACCCAACGACTACATGACCAGTCCCGCTCGACTGAACAGCCAACACGGCCAGCAGAACAGCCCCGGACGCACAGCGTCACTCAACCAGAGGCAACGCACGCACAGGTACATGACACAAGGATGGGTAGAGGGAGAAAAACCTGAGGAGGACTGAAAAGACTATTAGGTTCCCCTGTGAATGAGAATCGTTGCATCTTAGATTCTCAGAAGCATAAAATAAATACATGATAAATTAGACTTAAGCACTAAGCAGGAGAGGGAAGCAGTTTCTTTCAGCAAACACTTGATGTAAACCGTTTTAGGGTTTGAATGTTCAACATAACTATTGCTGTTTTGTTTTCTGTGTATGATGTAGTTATCGAAGGTGCTGAGTTAGACTTTTTATATCTCTGAATAAAGCATTTCCTTTGAAACTTTCCTGATTCAACTATATATATATATATATATATATATATATATATATATATATACTCCATAGTGTAGAAAAGAACAAGTACATGTTTTGACACAATCTGAGTTAACGTTAGCCCAAAAAACTTTCTCTACTTAATAAAAATAGAAATGTAGCCAGGGTTTCACTGCTGTGTGAAAAACATCTCCATGTCAGGAAGTTTTAATCTCTTCATTTGCCTCTGCAGCTTAGTTCCCTTCTCACCTCTTTTCCCTTTTTTCCTCCTCATCTGCTGCACTAAATCCTGTATTTGTCTGACAAGGCTTGGAGTGGCTTTTACCGCGGCCAGAATCGCTCCGATATTAATATCTGTAAAAGCCTCAGATGCGAAACGCTATTTGATATGAAAGAATAAAACTAATGCAGCGTGCACACCCTCGAACGCTGCAGCTCTCCCTGGAAAGACGGCTGCACTTTTATTAAAATTTGACTTATGAGTGAAAGAATTCATCTCATTAGCTAAAAAGCTGCTTATGCTGACTGCGATGCTAATAAATACCGCACTACTCATTTTCTTTAATCCATCCCTCTCGTTCTTCTCCTGACTTCACATTTTTTTCATGATGAACAGAACAAATGTGTAGAACTGCTGTCTGTTCAGCCTGAAGCTGCCGTAGCTTCCATTTAAAAGCCTGCTGCAGCTAATATAACCGTGCTAGGGCTATTTGATTATTCTGGCTTGAGGTCTGTTGGGCTTATTCACCTCATCAGTCTCAGTCAGCCTCTGCTGAGTTCTGATTGAACATAAGCTCCTGGTGCACCTTAATATGAAGCGCTGGGGCCATTACAGTGTCACATAATGTTGTTTACAGAGATAAGGCGTGTTGTGGCTGCAGCAGAGACGCTGCTTGGCAGTGGCTCGGTTTCACTCCATGTTTATCTGTAGATTCCTGCTCAGCTTACATCCTTAATGACTAAAATATTTGTATCTAGTAAATCAATTACAAGTCATAGATATCAAAATGTCCAGGCTTTAAAGAAAGAAGGAAAGAGTTTTTTGTTTTGTATTTTTGCACAGAATTTCTTTTCGAGTGGTTTATTTTTTTTCTTTTTTTTTCCACATCCGTAATTGATATACGATTTTAAATTTTAAAAAATTAAAACAGATTTTGTTTTAGACATTAAGACAAATTTGATCTCTATCCCAACTGAATTTCCCCTCGGTGGGATTGCAATTGAATTGAAGTTGGTGCAATAAAAATATAAAAAATACATAATTCCTGTATTCTATTCTATTTAAAAAGCGTGTAGCCAACGCAGCAGCAGAACCGCTCAGGACGTCCCTGAAAATTGTATGTATCTTATAAAGAATTAAAGTTGAATGAATGAATTAATATAATGAAAGTTCTCCAAGTAATGCGCAACCTAATCAGCTGTATTAATTTTCAAAATTTTTAAATAATACAATAAAAAGGGGTACTTCAAGTTACTTCTTAATTGTTTATGAATGACTTAATGCTTCTATCTACCTTTTCTTTCATCTTTGCGCATCTACAGGGTATCCACCCATTTTTCCATTTCATAACCAATGTGTCTGTCAGTTTGATCCATTCATATTTCCCTTGTTTCCATCCATCCTTTCATATATCCACTTTGTCCATCTATCCATTGCTCCAGCCCGCTCTTGTGGTTTAAGTCTAATTTCTGTTGCATCAGGAAGAGCATCCGGTGTAAAAACTTTGCCAAATCTGTGTAAGGGCTATGATGACCCCTGAATAAAGGAGCGTCCATCCGCTGATCAATATATTTGTCAGTTTTATCTCTATTAATGTTTTTTTTATGTCCATCTCTTCTTCCTTCCATCCATTTTTACATATATCCCTCTGCCAGTTATTTCTGTTATCCATCTGCTTTTCTGTTCATCTCATCTATTTAAAAAGCATTTTTCCTTTTTAATTGGCACCCAAAAATCTGTTGGATATCTGAGTATGTAAGGCAAAAAATGGGTAATTGACATGGAGTATACAGGATTACTGGATAAAAAAAGCGCAAGTTTAATGTTGACTTCAAACGGGGTGACATGTCACCGCTCTGAAGGAGGCAGAGGGGGCTCTGCCTCCTTCAGAGCGGTGACCCTGTTGTTTGTGCGTGATTGATGTCAGTCAAGTCGGGGGGGTGGGTAGCGTTGGTGGGAAAAGAGAGTAAAGAGATGTAGGGGGGGAGGTGGGCAGTGGTTCGGAGAGATGGAAAGAACCATGAGAGTCCAGGGAAACACGCGAGGAATCTCTTCGAAGACGATGAGGATGTGAGAGCAATGGGTCAAGCAGCGGTCAGAGGGGTGAGAGGCAGGGAGGCTCTGCTGAAGTGCTGGGATGAAAAGGGGATAGGAAGGTTTGGATGTTGGATAAGGGCAAAAAAAAAAATGCAACAAAAAACTGGGATCAAGGCCAGGCTGAAAGGGAGAGTGAGGGAGGGGGATTTAGTTTGCCAGACTGCTGATCTAAAAGCCCTGAGGTCAAAGGCAGGGTGTAACAGAGCTACGCCAGGGCTGACATACATCCTTCAATCAATGCCCTATATATCACTGAGGCCAGAGCTTACATCTAACCCTCCAATTAATCCCTTCCTAGGATTCTACTTTGAAGGCAGAAACTTTACCGTTAGCTCTTTAACTGCTTTACTGAATTGTTTTTTTAGAGTAATTAGATGTGCAAAAGAAAAAATACTTTTAGTCCAAATTCATTTATAGCCATTCTGCTTCATTATAAAGCAGTAAAAATTTATATTTTTGGTATTCTTTAGGTGGAGTGATGTTTCTGCGCTGCAAAAACATTTTTAAAGATGAAAAATAGAGGTAGTCTGAATTAAACAATATCTTTTATTTGTCTTTTCCTTAGTGGAAGCAGCGGGGGCAGCAGCAGCAGGGAGAACAGCGGCAGCGGGATCGGCATTCCCATCGCCGTGCCTACGCCCTCCATCCCAAACTCTGGACCAGGTGAGCAAGGCAGCAGCTGTAGCACAGGTCAAATCGTCTCGCTCTCATTTCTGTAGTGTAGCCTAAAAAATAAACACCAGATTGTAAAATGGTTACAATCTGGTGTTTTTCTCTCCTGTAAGAGTGTTTTAGGTCTATACTAAAGACGTTAACCTATAAAGGTATGAATTGACCTATTTTAAATATAACTTTGTACAACACAAAGCTTGTGTTAAGCAGACGGGGATTATTAAGAACCGTGGTGTTCTGGGCACAGCTGGTTCCCTATTACTATCTACTGTATAAATAGGCCAAGCTGTGAGAGGCCTTCTACTTTACATATTAAAGGACCACAGAACTGCCTGGTCAGGATACACACATCAAACAGGTGCTTCTCCACAGGGTAAAATATCATTAAAAGGCTCATTTGTTTAATTCCATTCAATTATGAGCTCAAATTCTAAACAAAATACACTGATTGATATATTTGTGTTAATATTTATGATTAAAACCATTTCCAGGTTTGGAAAATGAATAAAGGAAAGGTTTTACTGAGTACTCTGTCCATGTAAGGCATGGCAGAGTTTATGGACTCAGTGCTTGGTCCCGGCAGGAATGATTGCATCAGTTAATGAGACCCAGATTGGGTTAATGTCAGCATCCAGCTCATATGCGGTGTTGGATCTGGTGTCTGTCATTTTCCTCGTAGACAGTGCTACCTAGGTTCTCTTTGTGGTTTAGCTCTGGTCTGTTACCATGGTGATTAATTTTAACTTATTATTTATACTTTTGGCAATGTAGGCAGGGGGGTCCTGATGGGAACAAAAAAAAAACAAGCAAGCCAATGGAGGAAAGCATGAAATTCAAAATATATCTTAGAGGCTTGCTGTTTTCAGAGTTATGGGACAAAGCATATTCACGGAAAGTTAAGTGGAAGGAAAAACTGTGGTAAAAAGTGGTACATTGTTTTCATTATTCCTCATGCAGCTCTGATCATGCATTTCTTGACTCTGAGACATTGACTCCAAAAATTCTCCACTGATAGGGTTAGCGCTCTGAGAACAGCCTCCTTCCTTAGGAATGGTGTTTTGTGGCTAGGCCACCTTGTGGATGACTGGATGTGTAGTCCACAACATTGTGAAAACATCTATAACACGTAATAATTCTTATTCTTTTATTCTGAGGGTCTTGTATATATTTTTTGTTCTTTTATCTGTTGGGGCTAATCATCAGAACAAAGTTTTTGAAATGAATTAATGAAATGAAATGTCTTTTCATTGATATTCTAACTTATGAACATGCATCTATTGTTTGGAATTACACCACTACCCGATGCACGTCGGGTTTCTGTGTAGAAGGCAACATTTTTGTAGGTTTCTACCGCAGAATTGGCTCTACGCTGTAAGCCGGTTGCCATGGAAACGCTCCCTCTCCCCACAGCGAAGCGTTCTCCTCCTCTGCCTCTAGAGTGGTTCTGATGTTATGTAACAGAGGGGCAGAGGTTCCTCTCTCTCTCTCCGCTCCCGCGTCCATTAATGCTAATCCTTCTTTCAGTCTCGCCCATATCGGCTCCTCCGGGAGCCCCTCCACCCCCACCTCCTCCTCCTCCACCACCTCCTGGTGTACCTCCACCTGCTCCTCCCTTGGTTGGGATGGCGCCACCGGCACCACCTCCACCCCCTCCTCCTCCTGCCATAGGTGAGACTCATCGACTCCAGGACTGCTTCCGTCGTTTGTCTGGTGGTGGAATCAAGGCTGCGTCTGCTGGAAGACATTTCTAAACACTGGGTGGTGCTGGTGTGGGGGATCTTCTGTCTGTACGCACTCCAAGCAAAGAGTTTAATCTGTGGTGTTTTCTAATGACATTATATAATCTGATGAAGTAAAAGAGATGTTTACTTCCATATTTAATTAGGTGCAGAGAACATCCCAACTGCTGGTAAACTTGGTGAAATCAGCCAATCATATTTATGCTTCTCTCTTTTAAAAGTCACATTTTCTTTTTACATGAAGCGATGTCTCCTGTGGTGGTGGTTGTTTTAATTAATCATTCCTTTCTGATTAATTATTCAATACATGCTTTCCAAAAGCCTCCGTGTTCTTTGTACTGCTGTCAAAAATTCTGGGTTTTCATTGGGATGTTATGTGGCAAAGTTGTTTGACTTATTAAGACTTATTCTGACAGAAGGAAGAAGAGGCTTGGTTGTTCACAGGAAAAAAGAAGAATAAACCCCCAAAACATGCTGCTATGGTGGCAGAAATGTTGCCCAACACGATATGAAGTTTAAAACCTGCACTGCACATTGGTTTTTACACCCTACAACAAGACACGTTGGTGGCAGCATCATGCTATATGTCAGATTCAATGAACGGCTTTGTAAAGATAGATCCTATAAAACTGGAGGGTTTAAACTATGTGGCAATTATAAAGTACTTAAAGTATCTAATGTAGCGAGGGTTTGTCTTGAATACATTTCTTAAAGGACCAAATCTTTCTCTAAAATACTGCTCCAGCTTTTTTTGGAGTATGTCATCACTTTTACAACTCTAGCGAGTAAAATGTCTGCCTGTTTTTTTTCTTAATTGGCAAAAAAAGAGCTGGTCTGTCTTTGTCCCACAGGATGATGCTACCACCACCATGCTAACCAAATGGGTGTGTTTAGAGTGATGTGCTTTGTTTGTTTTCTGACACTTCCCGACTGTCTGTCGGATTATCATAAGCCCCATTTACACTGAAAACCGAGTTTGGACAGAGCTTGGATCAGTTAAACGTGCCGACCTCGGTTCCGTACGACCGTTTACACATCATGCTAACACGGTTCCTCGCCTCCTAGTGACGATCTACGGTACTACTGCTCTCTAGTAGGAAAACTTTTGTGATTATGTTTTGTTCCATCCGACGTAACCTTGATGGCGCCCTCCGCCCAAATTCGAATAAGAGCCTCAGTCTCGGCGTCATCCCAGGTCGCACCAAGCTCTTTTGAAGCCATTTTAAAAAATGTAAAGTTGAGAAGATTTCAATTGTTTACAGTTCTTCTTCTGTTTTGTGGTGGTTGGCAAGCAACTTACTGATGTGCATTACCGCCAACTACTGGAAGCTGACTGTGAATAGAAGATAAGGTCTGCTCATGCGCTCTTTATCAGAGAAACGTGCCACAACTGAACCACACCGAGCCCTTCTGTTGAACTAGTACCAGTTTAGCACGGTTCGTTTGTGTCTGGTACGGTCTGGTTCAGTTATCTCTGTTACTGTGCACGGATCAATCTCGGCATGGTTTCAGAAGTGTAGTGTAAATGGGGCTATAGAAAGTCAGCTTTGGAGTTGCAGTGTAACAGACTGTAAATAATCGGTAGGTATCAGTACCTTTGCCAGGCTCTGGATGGAAGAAATCTGAAGTCACTAAAGTCTTGAGTTGACTGACCTAACTTAAAACTAACCAACCTACTAAACCAAATATATTTTAAAGGAGATATTCTGTAGAATATGGTCAATTTGAGACTTCTTCTGTGGGGTCCATTTGTTTTAATTTCTTTCTCCAAAAAATGATGCTTTAAAAGCTGAACTGGAAGATTATTTTTCTTGGCTTTAGTTATAAAACGACTTTTTTTACTTGTATATTTCAATGTAAGCATCTATTAGCTGGGGGAAAAAAAATCAGAAGTTAAAAAGCCAATGTTTAAAGAATATTAAGAAAAAAATAAGTGCATATTTGATATCTAATTTTATGAAATTACTAGGTGAGACTTATTTATCATACAATTAGTGTCCATCTGTTGTAACTCTGAGCACAAACTGCACAAAACCAGATGACAGGACATCTGGTTGGATATAAAATGTATGTTTTCATCTTAATACAAGAAGAAAAAAGTTAATGAAGTTATTACAAATAATTTTATCTGTAGCTTGGATGCTTAAAAGGGGGTCTGTACTAGACACTTAATTTTTAAAAGCTTCCCATTGTGTTTGCCCTTTGTGACAGAAGATACAGGAGCAACAAGAATTAACAAAGCTGATTGGTCAAAAACCAAATGCAGGAGTATCATGCAATTAAGACCCAAAATAGGTTTAATTAACTCAAATTCTGGCCGTTTTCTACTTTAAATCTAAGTAACACTTTGTGGTTTAAGTCCTAGTTATAAGTTAAGTTATCTCTCAAATAAATTGTCCCTCTAAGGCCTCTTTGGGATCGTCATGTCCCCATTTAAATCCTTGTTTCAAACCAGCTTGTTAAAAAACAAGCAGTGGAAGTATCCAGAATATTGACTCCATATCTGTGAGTGCAGGTGGGTTATAATTACTGAGATGTTTCTGCAGGATGGAGAAGCTGCCTTATTAGTGCCAACCTTTGTTCATTTGGGATCGTGTTGCAGCCGTTTGTCGGATAAATAAAAACAATCAATCTTTGGACTCTCCAGTGAGATAATCACTTAAGTCATGCAGGTTTTGCCTTCTGAATATCACCGTCCTCCTCCAGCTGTAATTACCTCCGCTGCTGACAGTACGGAGAGGTTTGTTTGTGTTCTTTCAAAGATTAACTTCCTCTGGTTTCCGCCTTTTCCCAGTTCCACAGTTTGTTAGTCTGAGCTGAATTATTATCTAGAAATATGAAACAGGAAATGTCTGAGATTTTTTGGCTCTGCCATACACACCCACACTGGAATAAAAAAAGATATTTTTAAATCTGGTTCTTCTTAAAACCTGAGGGATCAATCTATTGTGTTGCTCCTCTGCTTATCCTTCTCTACATCGTTCATTTTCCTGAGCTGCATTTAATGAGATGATTCCTTGATGTTGGCTTCGATAACAGCACTATTGTCCACTGGTATTTTTGCTGTCAGCTCTTCTTGCTCTGCTAGCATTTTAATCAAATTTGTGGCACTAATCGGTTATTAAAAGCTCTTTATAACCTTGGTGTCGATAATTCATGTCTTTTTTTCCTCTCCTCTTCCTCTCCATAAACACCCTTCCTCCCTCTTGGTTCCTTCCTGCCCTCTCTCTGTCTATTGGGTGTGTCTAGCAGTGGCCTCTGGGCCTGGTCTGGGCCCTGCTCCAATGTCCCAGTTTGGAACCATCTCGCGGCAGATTTCGCGGCACAACCCCTCCAACTCCTCTGTCTCTATGGTTTCGGCCACGGGCACCTACCGCCGGGCGCCATCGGTCACATCACAGTTCTCCTTGCAGCAGCAGCAGCTTCAGCTACAGCAGCAGCAGCAACTGCAGCAGCAACAGCCTCACATTAACGGAGGCACTCCTGGCTATGTCCAAAACTCAAGTAAGGCCCCTGTGTCTCCATCTTTAACCCTAAAGCCTGAGCTGACAAAGATGCTTGAATGCACACTATTGTTTTTTTTGTTTTGTTTTTTTTTTCCCAATCACACACAGTCACAAATTAATGAAAAAGTAATTTCTATATACACCTTTTATTTAAGAACAAAAATAATACTCTTTAATCAAAGACTTTTGACTTAGAAGGCTAGTTTGGTTTTTAAATTCAACCTTTTTAGAAATTCCTGATACTTCATCTTTTATGCTTTAATAAAAAAATGTTTTTTTTTTTAACTGCTTTTAGATTTTAAATAGTTTTAAAATTAGTCTGATTGCAAGTGCCTTAATTGCAACAAATGTTGAATCTTTCCATAATGGGAGATATAAGTAAAAATATAATGAGCTGTACCATTTTTATGGACAAGGACAAACAAAAACAAATGCAGATAGATATCTGAAATAAAGGCCAAACTACACAGCTAATTGCAAAAAGAAGTTAGAAAACCTGCAGTTTACAAATTTATGGAATGTTTAATGACATTAAGTGGCCATATGAAGACAATATGATACATTTTTTACCTTTCAGTCAATTTCAACTTTAGCATTACGAGTTAGCAGTTTGAATGTCCCCTTAATTAGTGGCTTTAAAAATGAATGGGATAGTTTATTACTTATTCAATGTTAAGGCAAAACGTAAAATGTTTTGTAGGAAAAAAAGAATCTCCACATTTGTTGCTTTAACATGCAGAGCTAGCATTAGCTATTCAGCATGGCTTGCTGCTATTAAAAGTTGGAGAAGGATACATTTATAGATCCTCTGAGCTGCTGCTTCAGAGGTTCTAAGAAGGTTTAAAAGCCTTTCTTGTTGATGAGAAAATGAAAGACAAGACTAGATCTGTGTTTTTTTTTTTTTATACAAGCTAATGTTAGCAATGCAGCATGAGGAGAAAAGTTAAAATATAAAATTCTATAAGTCAGTGCTTTAAACCTCATGGTTTAGTTTTACCAGAATATTGATGAGAGAAAAAAGTTCAGAGTTTCTTTTTTTTTCCATTTATTACAAGATGGTGCTACTGCTTCAGCATCAAAGAAGGTCCTTTTTTAATTTTATTGTGTTGCATAAGCTGCAATTCAATTTATATTGCAGCTTTATTGTGAACCTAAAGGATTCTGGTTGTTAAAATTTGCAACAAAGTTGCCTTTAACAGCCTTTAACTTTTTATGAATCCTTAAAGTCTAATGTGAATGTCTCATTTTAGTCCGATTTCCTCCACTATCTCTGATATTAAAGTTTTTTTTTTGTGGCTAAAAAGGGCATCCCACATCCATATGGTCCAGATTAAACTGTAATCAACATTTATATCTGGCAGTAAACCAGCCAGACTGAGGAGTTCAGCTGTTCTTTCTTAGACATGGACAAACAGCGCCTCCTTGTGGTCATTAGTAAAAGTTGTGTTGTGCTTTGAAGGCGTGGGAACAATCAGACTGACAAAATTCCAACATAATCTGCAGTTTATCCGCCAGCCTTGGTGATCCTCAGATGAATTGGGAAATCAACAAAATGTTGCCAAATATGATGCACAGATTTAAAGGAGATATTTGTATAAACAACGTTAAATCAGAAGTGAAATAGTGACTTCTTTGCAGTGTGTCTGCTTTTTCCTGCAGAGCATCGATGTCGGTGGGTTTTCTCAGTAGCGGGTCACTCTCTGAACTCTTGTCTGTATATTCTGGATGACTGATGGGGTCCTGACTCTCTTATTTTCCCCTCTCTTTGACTTCCTGTCCGCTGTCTGCTGGCTTTCAGTGTCTGTTGCACCTCCTCCTCCCCCCATGCCCCAGCTGACTCCACAGATACCTCTCACTGGCTTTGTGGCCAGGATGCAAGAGAGCAGTAAGTGAAGAGGCTTCACTCAAGTTACGTTATTCTAATTCTGCATGCACTCTGCATTTTATTCCCGTTTGCAGAATTACTTTATGGACGTTTCTCTCTTCATTTAGCCTCTTCTTATAAACTCTTAGTTGTTAGATGCATGCAATGCTTTGGAATGCTTTAGTTTTGAATAATTGATGTGCTAGCTATGGGTAAAATGTTGCCCTTTTCTTGTGCTAATTTATTTTTTTAAGCATAAACTAAGAAATCTTTAAAGCTACATGAGTGAAGCATTTAACATTTTAAAACACGTTTTTATGATATTTTTGATGATCAATTTACACAGAAGTGGCAAATAAAGTTAGGATGGTTAATTTTGGGCAGTATTGGCTGCATCATCCTGTGGGGATGCTTTTCTTCAGCAGGGACATGGCTGTTACTAAGAGTTGATACAAAGATGGATGATAGTAAATACAGTCAATGTTGAAGGAAAAACTGTTAGAGGCTGCAAAAAATCGAAAGCCGACGCAAATGTCTACTTTAAATAGATTATAACAGCAAATGAAGCCAAAGCAACAAGGAAAAAGGATTAGTCAAAATTCATACATCTAGTTCTTGATCATTAAAACCAGGGCTTAAACAAATAATTGATTATTGAAATAATCGTCAACTAATTTAATAATCGATTAATTAATCGAGTTAATAATTAACTGGAGTATAGAGATTCTAAAACATGCTTTTAGCTGACAGAGAAACCCACTAAGAGCAGTATTTTAACCAATATTGTAAAAAAAATAGATATAAACATTTTGCATTTAAGATTTAAAAAAAAACTTAAAAACGTTTTACTTTCACCTGGTTTCATTTTGTAAAAAAATATTTTTAAGAACATTTTGCTTAAAAAAATAATAGGCAGTTTAATCGATTTGCTAAAAAAAAATAATTAGTTGCAGCTCTAATCAAAACACAAATAAGCATTGTATTGCATTTTACTTCTTCAAAATTACAGAATAGTGTTTGTTGTTCTATGGTGTGAAATCCCAATAAATATTTAAAGTTTATGAGGCATCATGTTAAAAACTGCCCTATGGCTTCTTTAATGGCTGATTTGAACCTGTTTATATGCATCTAGACTTTTCTGTGGTTAGATATTATCATGCATCTTTTCTTGTCGCCATTTTTAGTGCTTCTTAAGATGAAGAAGGTGATTTATGATTTAGACCAAAACATTCATCCTTATCTAGATTATCTTAAAGGTTTTCCTAATGTTCAAGGTTCAAAGTTAAAACGGTTTCCTTGAAAAACAAAATATTCTAACTTGAGCCACATCTGACATCACACTGATCAAGAACAGATAAAGTGGCGTTGCTAAAGTCGAGAACATTTATTCTAGAGGAAATCTGTTGAAAGATATTTTTAAAAAACATGTGCAAGAAGCCTATAAAGGTCTGGGAAATGATCCAGAAGAAGAATAGTTGTTTTGGTGGGAAATAAACCCAACAATTGTTCTGGATGTGATTTTGGTTCCACTCTGACAATGAAGGGTTTGATTTGATCTGCAAGGAGCTGGCAGGTAAAACAGTCTTGGAGGCTTCCTCAAACCATCCACTGTACAAGGTGAAATATTGTAACTTTAAAGCCATAAACATGATTAAACTGTTTTATTACTCTCATTTACTTGGAAGATAAAAGTCTTTTCTGTAGTTTTCATGTTTCTTAAAAAGTTTTCATTAATTATTGTCTATAAAGCTGTTATTGTACCTGCATGCCTGAAAACTTAAGGATTGTTGAGCTGCATCCTGCTCAATGAATGAACACACCCTCCTCTGCATGTCGGTGCATTCCTGATTAATACTGCATGATCCCGCCGCCGCCATCCTTTCTGAAAACTATGAACCAAGGTTTCATGGCGGATTTCTGACTGTCCAACAGTAGCAGACACTCCCACTCCACCGCCGCCTCCGCCCCCGGATGACCTGCCCATGTTTGACGACTCCCCTCCGCCGCCGCCACCTCCGGTGGATTACGAGGAGGAGGACGCCGCCGTCGTCCAGTACGACGACCCGTACGCGGATGGAGACCCGCAGTGGGCCCCCAAGAGCTACAAGGAGAAAGGTTTGCTTCAGAATTCCTCTGATAGTCGTTACTGCAGCAGGTTGTATGAATACCAACTAGGATTCCTGATTAACGTTAGGAATCATCTACCCACGCATCAGTTCATTCATTCATCCAACATCCATTCATTCCATTTCAGTCTGGTGCTCCAAGCACACATCTTTGCATCCATCAGTTGATTTTGCAGAGTGTAAAACTATACCCATTGGAGACATTTGTTTTTCTTTAAAAGCTACAAGAAACAAGCTAAAAAATTAGATTTTTAGTAAAATATTGTAAACCAACAGAAGTAAGACTCCTCTGACTGTTATGAGCCAAGCGCCACATTAACAAACTCATTTAAGACCATCATGTCCCCTGTCTCTGGTCCGGTCCCTGCAGTGGTGGCCATCTACGACTACACCAAGGACAAAGACGACGAGCTGACGTTCATGGAGGGCGCCATCATCTACGTGGTGAAGAAGAACGACGACGGCTGGTACGAGGGCGTCTGCAACGGCGTCACCGGCCTGTTCCCCGGCAACTACGTGGAGAGCATCATGCACTACGCCGAGTGAAGCAACCTGGCAGTAACCAGTCCTATTTATTCAGTCATATCCTAACTAGGTGACCAACTGACCGTATGATCCCTTTTTTTTTTTTTTTTTTTTTTTTTTTTTTTAAGAATGGCATAATGTTTTCTCTCTTACTGAATGCAAATAATAATTGATATCTATGTAGTCGGTGTGATAGGGATTGGTTTGTGGCATTTAGACATTTCTCCGGTTTATTAAAGCATTTAAAGAACAGCAGAGGACGTCGCCGTCAGTCCGAGTCGCGGTCCGTAGAACACCGCTCTCATTATGGAGAAAAAAACCACTGTAAATTACATTTTAAGGATTAAGTCTTAGAAAGCATGCAAATGCAAATCTGTAATTTGAAATTTTATGCCACTTTTCTTCAATTATGTTGTAAATTTCTTTTTTTTTTATTTCACTGTCGAAATCACTGAAGTTTTTACTCCAATTTAAAATCTTTTCCATGGGCTTTCTCTCTCTTTTTTTTGTACCTAATCCTAAAATAAAGAAATTGAGTTTTTGTTTTTTATGAATTTGAATCTTTTCACTAAGCATTAAGATCTGATTATCCAGTTAAAGATAAAACAACAATCCAGCAGCTGATCGGTGTAAAATGTGTTTTGATCTTAAAATAACTTAGTAGTAAAACCACATTCAAGAAAAGATCAAAATCAGAATTTTTGTACAGTTTTATGCATTTTCTTTAGACTTTATCAATTTACTAAAGTCCTGAGTCAATTCAGTGTAGGCTGGGGTGAGGGAAAGGATTTCTGCAATATACTCGTTTAGATTTCCAGTGATAAACTAGGGTAGGAAAAACATTAAAAGCTGCTCAATTGTAGTTTTGCATCAGATGGGAATCATTTTCAGGGCCTTAATTGGAATATACAGCATTAAAACGGGGGCAAAGACTAGTGCTGTTACTACCTTCATCTCCTTACGTTTCCTGCTGTGATAGGGTGGAACATTTGTGAGTTTTGAAACCTTGATACTGTTAACCAACCTCTATGACTAGTAGATCAATTCACCAAGTTTGCATTTTGATCATTTTTTACACCCACTTTTAGTCTTTTTCCTTCATTAACTTTTAAATAAACAGATGCACTGATAAATGACCCGACTTTCCCTTAAACTGAAGTTATCCCAGGAATATTCTGTATTACAAACTAAAAGGTTTGAACCCTGCAGTATGTTTTCTATTGTTATAGTAATATGCCGTCTGTGACAGGATGAAGATCTGAAAGTAAAATGAGTTTAAAACAAGAATCCAAATGAAAGCAGAGTAAAATCTAAAGAACGGATCAGTTCTGGTAATATGTGGGGGTGTATGCTGAATTAATAAACTGGGGTCTCCTATGCCTGCGGTTAAAGCAGGTATAGGTGTTCATGGAGAGATGTTTAATGGAGCGTCGGACTGAGTCAAATTTAGCAGCTACACGCCTCCATCTCAAAGGCTCACAGCCTGACACTGCCGTGAGACAATTCAGACGTAATCCAGGCCGAACAACTAATACCTCCTCAGTTTCCTCGAAGCATCAATGTCTGCGCGGCCCCCCTGGCTGGGCCGGTCTTCATAGAACCAGGCGTCACTCAGGAATCAAACGGTTCAGGTTTCGCTGCAGCCTTTATTCGATCTTCCCTCTCATCTCTCCAACTTCCTGACCCAAAGTACTGAAACTCACCTCTTTCTGCTTATTTGTAGATATATATATATAATATGTTGACTCAGAAATGAATGTACAGTCTTTTATAATAAACAATTCTCCATACAGCAGCTTTTATGCATTTGTGGTTATTTGGGGGGGAAATAAGCAGAACAAGAGTTTTAAATAATAAAACTTGATCAGGTGGTTTATTGAGCACATGGTCATGTCAGATGTTAAGGCCTTCTGCTGTTACAGGACACTTAGCAAAGTTCAGAGTGTAAAACAGAAAAAGTTTGGCCATTGAGTTTTGGACGGATCCATGGACGTCACATCCAGACAATAACGACTCCATCATGTTTTAGAAATTATTTTTTTCTCCAACATTCTCAGCAGCCCAGAGAGGATCCGATAACCCGGTCTGAGACGTGTGAGGCCGCTGGTTACAGTACAGGACGAACCTTTTCTTCAAGGTGATCTTATTCCTCTAAAATCACCTTAAAATGGTGATTTTTCCTCTTTCCTCCCAAGATAAGACGACTTAACTTAATTTTCTTTTACACGCTGTGCAGCCAGCAGACATTTTAGTCTCATAAGGCAGCAGGGTAAGTTCGTTTCACATCGAGCTGCCAGAGGAGTGAGTCAGAAGGCGACTGAGGAGCTTCACTTGTTCCTGTTGAGGACGATCTCTGTGAGCCTGATGAGGGCGTCCCTCTCTGCAGACGGCTGGAGCCGGCTGATCTGTTTGATGGCCTCTTCGCAGTATCGCTGCGCCAGGTAGGTGGTCTGCTGCACGCCGTCGCTCTGAAACAGGAAATAATGGAGCCGTTCAAATAAAACCTGTTCCACTATTACTGATTTTTCTTAACTGTTAGAGAATGTGAAACTTTAAATTGCTGAAAATAATCAGCATAAAGTGTGTATTCTCATTCACCCCCTGTACTCTGATGCCCGCAACTAAACTCAATTGAACTATTTACATAGAAAAAATATATTTACGTTTAAAGCCACAAGATTGTTCATCTAAACTGATGGATAAAACAAGCAGAGAATTAATTAGAAGCAGCTAAACAGCCTGTGGTATCGCTGGGGGAGCTGCAAGGAGCCACTGCTCAGGTGGAAAGAAGATGACAGAAGAGTCCTGTTTGAAAACCCTCCAAGTCTCCCTTAACGTCCACAGTGAAACACGGCAACGGCGGTATGATGCTGTGCTTCAGGGAAGACTAATCTGCTGAGAACAATATAGGACAGAGGTGCACTGCAAAAACGATCTAGGAATAAGTCAACATTTCTGAAATTTAATTTAACCTTAATTTGAATAGGTAAATAAGATGATCTGCCAATGGGATGAGTATTTTTACCATTAAATTAGATAATATGCAATTAAAATAAGGCAATGCAATTGTTCTTATTTTTTTAATGTAACTTGTCTTGTTCCATTGACAAAGAGTCTCACCTAAATTCAATTAAGAATGCACTGATTTTAAGTAAAAATGACTTATTTAGATTAACAATTTTTTTGCAGTGTGGAGAAGAGGCTAAAATTGTCACCTACCATTAGGACAAGTTCAAACTCTGGAGCTACAGAGGGTTGGTTTAGAATTAGGATTGAAGGATATTTTATTTAAAAGTTTAAATAAAATAGAGACTTAAAACCTAATTTCAGATGATTTCCATCCAGTTGATGTTGACCTGCAGCTGTAACTACTAATTATTTGACCACACTGTTTGAAACTGTCTCATTAAAGGAAGCTGAACTTCATCTCTACTCCGTTTGCTCGCTTTAAAGCCCCTGAATGGATTCAGGATTGTGGAAAACAGCAGCTGTGGTTTTGGTCATACCTGAAGGACGTACTGCCAGGCCCGATCCACGTCTCCCTTGGAGCTGAAACGTCTCATGATCATGGCGTGAAGCTCCGGGAACTGGAAACACAGATTAAACAGTTTCTGTTCAGTATCACCGACTGTATGCATTTCAATGGAAACGCTTCATCCTGCGTTGTTGGCTCACCTGCTGACAAGCGAAAAGAACCGGCCCGGTGGCCAGGCCCAGTTTCAGATCGGCGGCCGCAGGCTTCCCCAGCTGCTCGGCTCCTGAGGTGAAATCTAAAACATCGTCCACCAGCTGCAAGAAAAAAAAAAATGATGTACTTAATATTTATTCGTTAAAACTTTCTGGACTAAAGTGAAAGAAGCAGATCAGTTCTGGAGGACCTGAAAGGCAATGCCGACATTCTTCCCGTACTGGTAAGCTATTTCATGGACCTCAGGGTCAGAGTTCACCAGGATGGAAACCTTCAGATGAACAGAGAGGGATGGCAGTCATTGAAAAACACACGGAGCAGAAAACGTCTCCGCCTCATTGATGCTAAGACAGAACGTACATACTGCTTTACAGCTGTGTGCCATCAGACTCGCCGTCTTCTTGTAGGTTTTCTCAAGGTAGTGTTTGAAACGCTCGTTCTCGTTCTCTTTGGATCCCAGCTGCATAAACTCACCTGGCAGATGAAAAAAAAAACAGAAATGGATCAAATCAAAAGATGGAGCACAAAGAGGTGCTGTTGATGCTGTAACGCACCTCGCACTAGGTCCTCTATGACCTGGGAGAGGACCTTAACCACGGCGCAGTTCCCAATACGAGCCAAGGCCTTGGTGGCAGCCGAGAGGATGAAGTCTCCAGCTAAGATAGCCTGAAAGGGACAAAAAAAAAACAAACCAAAACCATTTAATGGTGGATATACAAAGAGGGGTGTAAAGAAGGAAAGAGGGATATCTCAATCCTATTTATTGAACCCTGCGTTGGTTAAAGCACATCCAGCCAGCAGTAGAAGCCACACCTTTTTCTCTCCCCACACTTCATTGATGGACCTCTTCCCCCTTCGCTCATCCGATCCATCGATCACGTCATCGTGCACCAAGCTGGCAGTGTGAATCATTTCAGAAATCATTGCAATCGTCCTTTGGCCTGGGAGCAGATCTCTGCAACAAACAATCACACATGGATTTGTAACAAGGGAATGCATAACACGACTCTCCCCACTAACTGTATGCACGTTTCTGTAAACACATCTTATTTTTTATTATCTCTCAAGGAGAAAAAAAAAAGAAAACCTGCTTTCAGCTGTCTGAAGATAAAGAAGGATAGTGCTGCTCCAGTCTAAACAAGCAGAGTTGTGTTGATCCTCTTACCCAGCTCTGTTGCTGTGGATGTTCATGGCCCGGGCCATCAGGACCACTATGATCGGTCGGATAGCTTTGCCCCGCCCGTCAAAATAATAATCACAGAGGTAATTTAGCTCCGTTTTGGCCACAAACAGCTCCTATAAGACATAACAAACGTCATGGCTTCATCACAGAGACAATAATACGCAGCGCATATTCGCAACAAAACCTAAACTGCTCATCGTTTTCTAATTATTAAAGAAAAACTAAATATTTAAAGACAAAATGATTTAAAATCTTTTATGGCAGCAAATAATCTGCCACTTTGAAAACAAAAAGGACCAATCCAGCTAAAACATAAAGGAAGCTCGAGTCTTTTATATAAATTAAAATTTTCTTTTAAGATAAGGATGAAACAGAGAACCATTTTCTTTAACCTCTTTTTATAATGGGAAAGAGAAGTAAACATTCTATTTGACACCGTTTACAGGCTGATTATTTTATTTGATCGTTTTTAAAGCAAACCAGCAAGAAGAACATTTTCTGTTCCAGCATAAAAAAATTGAGAAATCTAGTTAAACTAATGTGGAACGGTGTGGTTTGGTTAGATTAGAATAAATCTGAGATGAAAATGAAGTCTGGGCAGACAGCTGCATTAAACACCACATGCTGAAGGGTATGGTGGAGGATGTGTGAAACTATGGGCCTGATTCCCTTCCAAAGGTCCTGGGAACTGAGTGAGGATATCTTCTCTGAATTATAAAGATCTTTCAAAGTTTTCATTTTATTTATTCAGTGTAATATTATTAAACTGCAATAAAGATGATTTTAAATCTAGCTTTTAATGTTTTAAACAGATAAATGTAGACCGGGGGTTATTTTGAATATTTGAAGCTCACCTTTTTGATGTCATCATATAAACTTGTAAGGTCTTTCTGGGCTAATGTAAAAGGGTCCCTCAGTTTTGCGTCGCTGTGCGTTGTCCTGCAGCTGCAGGACTGTAGTGTTGGATACAGCAAACTAGAGCGGTGTCTCCAAAGAGAAGAAAGCACAGACTTTACAACCTTAAACACGATAGAATAACAACAGAGCCAACAGAAACAACACATTGCGACAATATAGGGCGGCTCACCTGATTCCAGATGGAATAAGGTGAGAAGCTTTGGAGTGGATCTGTGCAGGAAACAGTGGCTTTTTCTGAAAGACATTATGGAGACAGACACAAATAACAATCCAGCTAAACTGACAGATATCAGAAATCAATTAAGACTTCTTGTGAATAAAGTTTTTTTTTTTTACTTGAGATTAATCATCAACTGTTACTTTGATCAAAATCCCAAAATGTAACCCCCCCCCCCCCATTAATCTACAATAAGAAGTTGGAGGGACATTGTGTGTTTTTGTAAAGATGCTCTTAAACATCTACATATCTATTCATGTAAATCAACTATGGGGCTATTAATAAAAATGCTAAAAACCTGTAATACAATTTTTTTCTGGTTAAGATCGCCCGCTGATCTAGATAAACTTTAAATATGACAAATTCTAACATCAGATGAAGCTGAAACACCAACCAGAAACCTTTTGCTGATTGATATTATTCATAAGAGTTATAAATCCATGTTTTCTTACTATATTTCTATGTGTAGACTATGAAAAATGTAAAAACTGACACATGATCAGAACTAGGGCTGCAACCAACGATTGTTTGGCCAACTGATTAATCTGTTAATTAAAAAAAAGCTCTCTGATTACACTTGATAAGTTCTAGAGAGAGTATTACTGATACTTTTTATTCTGGTGTAATTACAGCTCTGAGTGGGTGTCTCTATACTCCTGTTAAGGATTAATTGATTACTAAATGAGTTGATCATTTCAATAGCTGATTAATCTGATGAATTCCCAATTAGAACGATATCTCCTGTGCGAAACCGGGGCTGTATTTCATGTCCAACAGGCTGGGTATGAAAGAGAACCAAGACCACACACATAAAATGGCCCACTGGGTTGCTTTGCACATAAATTTATTTAAAGGTACACTATGCAACCGCTGTTGATTTTCCAGCGAGGCTCCCCCCAGAGGGCGAAAGTAAAAGTGCACTGTCGTAAATATGCACAGCTGTTCTCCTGGTTTCTCCGTCAAGCCAGGCGCGGTTGTTTTGAGCTTAGCAGACAGGCGAACGCAACGAATGACTAATGCTGCGTTCACACCGCAGCTGGCGCGACAGAAGCAGCGAGTTTACATGCAACGTAACGTCAAGGCGCAGCAAAAGGTCCCGCGGCGCGTTTTGAGCATCAGGCGCAGCGCGTCTGAGCAGCTTAAGCAGCGCGTCGGGCGCGTTTAATCATCTGAAGCAGGGAGAGAGACACAGCGCTGATGATCACTCCTCTTAAACAGTTTGACGCCTAAATTAACTTAAAATGCAGAAATCTGCCGGCAGAATATGCAGTTTGGATTATTTAGATGAAAAACACCTACCAGCTGCCGCGGTGAACCGCGAGGAGGCGACCCGGCCAGAGGCTGCTGATGAAGGGATTCCTACTGTCGGCGCACCGCTGGTATGTGGGGGTCTGAGCGGCTCCGACAGAAAAAATATTGAAGGCAGGATAATAATCTGAATGAACTGACTGCACTGATTACGTTTTCAGGTGTATTTTCTCACTTAAAAACATATTAAAACTACTTTATTCCCACTGATCACAGCAAATATAGCTGCAAGGCAGAGAAAGGATAGTGAAGCTCCGCCCAACACGTGTCAGACACACTTTTGCACCACGAAGCCAGAGCAGCAAAGCTGCTTCAGCCGCGCGTCAGAACTAACTGGTACAAGCAGCAAAAAGGAAGCAGCAGACGCGATTTTGCTGTTTTTGCTGCGTGAACGTAGCATAACTGCACAAAGATTGCCACTGTGCTAGCAACGAGCATGCTTTTAACTGGGGGCGTCTAGAAGTTCTCGCCGTAAAGCAAGACTGACTCTCACGAGACTTCTGAGCCTGTGGGTGCGGGCCGAGGGCTCCTGCAATTGCAAGTGCTGTATTTCCCCCACAGACCACCAGGGCGGCAGAGAATATCTTTGTTCAACCTGAAATGACTCATTTAATCATCCAAAACGATATGGAACACATTAACTGAAAAATGTTGCATAGTGTGCCTTTAAGAATTATAGCAAACAAAACTCTATAGAACAGATCTGCAACCTTCTAAATTCAAAGAGTCATTTTTTGTCCGAGTCTGGCTAATCAGTCGCTTAGAGCCGCAAAATATGACATGACCTTTCAATTAAACTCAGTTTATTTCTGTTAAATATTTACTGTAGGAAAGCCATCATCTTAATCAGCCAAGTTTATCTGCATTCCTAGATGCATAATTTCTAAGCTAATTAAAAGACAAGTAGCTTAAAAAAAAACACAAAAAAAACATACTTCTGGTTCTTTTAATGTAATTAACAAAAACCTATAAAGTTTCTATACCTATGTTATTACACTATATTAGCTGGTTCTTTATAACATTTACATCAGTTTTTAAGAATATTGTAAAAAAAAAAAAAAAAAAAAAAAGGCTGGTTCTCTACAGGGTGCTGCATATTAATAGAAAGTTTAGTGGAAGGACAAAGTTTGATTTAAGAGAAGTCTATATGATCTGATTTTATTCCAAATTGTTTAGATGCATCGGTATAAACGGTAGCAATGAATCTTAAAATTAGGTGGAAAATGGTGTTCTGAATTAGTCCTGGGTATTGATTAAAATTAAAGAATTGATTCAAATTCTTAGGATTTTTAATAGATCATTTTCGATCTGGTCCAATCTCAAATTTAATTGTTATTTTAAACATTTTCTATGTTTTTAGCTGTTGCCTAAAGTTGATACTATATTATATTTACATTTAACAGCGGATTTATATAGTAATGGTAGTTTAACGGCTTCTGTAAGGACAGTGGCAAATGCTTTTTATCAATATTTAGTTATTTGAATTGGAAAAAATTTTCTCCCCCCCCCCAATCTTTTTTTCTTATATATATCCTTATTCTAAATGCCTCATAAGTGTCAAACCTGGTAATTAATTAACCAGGCAGAAAGGATAAGCAAGTTTAATTCTGTATTAAAGCATAAGAAAAATATGTCAACTTTCATTCAAGCAGAGAAGTTTGGAAGCCTAAAATAATCAACATAACTTCAAAACGATAAACAGAAATTAGTATTGAGTATCTTGAGTTTTATCAGTCAATATTTTTTTCCTGATGTCCCTGAAGTACTCAATGTGTGTCTCCACTTTAAATGAATGAATGAGAAGGTGACTATAACTGGATTATAAAAATATAGACATACCACAGAGTCACACCTTGGAGTAATGGTTAATTAAGCTCTGGATTTTTTTGGATTATCAGATTAAAATAATGTCGAGAAAATCGAGAATATAACCTAAAAAGTCATTCCTCATTAAGAAACCCCTGCAAATACCAATAAGATTATTCTCCCAAACAAAGAGCCATAAAACCCTCTAAGGAGCAAGCTGTAACTTGTAGATCCAAACCTCCACTGAAGGAGGACCGGGCTGTCTCTGTGACCTTCCCGGCTCTTACTACACTTCCTGTCAGCTACAAACTCACCTCCTTTCCGGCTGCGGAGCTCAAGAACGGCCTGCCCGTCGATGACGCAGGAGAGTACGGGGACCTTCCTATGAAACACCGAAGCGTTTCAGATAAACCACAGGTGGTAAAGCCTGTACTGAACCTCCGGCAGGACATCCACCAGGACCCCGCCATGATGCTAGCGGAGCCACTCGGCGTGCAGGGGGCCGGTTATATGAAAGTGCGGAACCGGAAACTTGATTGAGCAACCTTTCACAATAAGACAGGCCACACGCCGCTCGTTGGTTAAGTTGTGATGGGGCGGAACCGGAAACACCGGTTAGTAACCTTTCACAATAAGACATGCCACCGGATGTAGCTTTTTGGTTGAAGTAGGAACCATTTAATCTGAGTCTTTATGGAAACTAAATGTGTAATAACCAGAATACGTCTTTAAAGATAAAGGTTATAACGTTTTTATCCATATATCTCCAGGAAATATATTGTTTAGGGTATGACAAGCAGCTATTAAATCGGACGCTGAAGTTAGCATCGGATTCGTGTTTTTTTATAGCATGCTATTTTTTCATGACAACAGCTGATGATCACATTTGATCAACCAAACTTTGACTAAACTAATTTTTACAAATACTTTAAAGGTGAGTAGTGATTTAAAGTAGCATTTACCATATTTCTAAAAAGAAACACAATGTTTAAAAAAATATATATATTACTATTTTTTAAAGATACTGCACGTATTAGGCTCCTAAATCAAATATGCGCATTTTAAATCCTCTGTTTGCACCTTATAACAATTTTATTCAGGTTTACTGTAGATTTTGAACTTAATCAATGTCTTAGTTTTTCAATATAAATGGTAAACACATCCTAAAAAAAGCAGAGTTGCAATCAGACACCAGCTTTCGAAATGTCTTTGCAGACTTGAAAATAAATATATCTTTCTTTGATAATCTAATAATGCAGGAAAAATAAAATCTGATCTCTGCTTAGTTTTGTACAATGTCCAATGCAAACCAACTATTGTTTTGATAATTTTCTGTTATCAGAACAGCTGCAAACTGGGAGGATAATGATACAAAGTTTTAATGGCAAATAAATCAGAAAAAAAGACACACATCATGTCTGAAGCCCAGTGTAACATGAGTTCAGATGCATTTCCATTGGAGAAGAGTGTTTACAAATCTGCTAAATGTAAGATTTTATCCATGGTAGGTTGTGTATCATTTAATATTCAATTTGAATTCAATTCTGTTTAATTCGATCGCACCAAATCACAATGTTTGCCATCTAAAGACACTCTAAAGAGACAATTTAATCAGATCAGAAGATAAATGATAAAAGTTTAATGTTTCTGTCACTTATTCTCTGACTTCATTGGGGAAAAAATCTGAAATTTATATGGATCCATTCGTATATAACATTAACTTTAGTAGGCATCATAGCAGGTTTTGTCATACTTTTGTCTTTAATCTCTCCTGTGACCCTATTTTTGCTGCTGTGTTTCATCACATGTGGGATAAAAGTTGTGATTGGTTGAATATGATGGTTTTCTTATAGAGCTCTTTCAATCATCCCATCAATCATGATTTGCTTCCCTGTTTCTACTAAAGAAAAGCATCCCTCATAATGATACAACTGCTACAATGTTTCACCACGGGGATGGCCGGATACCGAGTGTTAATTTGGACAATTGCAACACTCATAAATTTGAGTAAAAAATTTAAAATTGATCCTTTTTTCTCTGAAGAAACTACTAATACTTTTTCAAGAAATAGAAAATCAAAGTAGTTTTTAGTTTGTTTTTTTTAATTCACAGAGCAATCAAATCTCTCGTTTGGTAGAAATGTGGAGCTCCTGTTCAGCGCTAGTCTTTGCTGTGGCGGCATCGACCTTCACACCAGTTTACGTGCTGGAGTCCTGCCAGACTTCTGATCTGGACTGCGGCCGCCATGAGGGCGGCGCATCAGACAGTCGCTCCTCAGCGGAAATGGCCCAGATGAGGTGGAAAGAGGCTGGTTCAAATCTCACTCAGCACCTGGAGCTGTTCAGGTTATCCTCCCAGAAGCTTATTGGTACAACAGATACTTATCTCTCTGTTTTATTTTCAAACATGCAGCCGGTAGTTTTTATTCTCGCCACCCTTCCCTGTCCTGCAGAGGCATTACCAGTGGATGAGATCGACAGCAACCTTGTTCGCACCGTGAAGAGCTGCGTCTTCTCCAAGTCCAACCCGACTCCACTGAGAGGCTCTCTGAGACTGGCAGCGGTTTCCAAGGTGATGGCGACAAATTCTTGAATCTTCAACATCTGAGATGAATCTGTATATCTGAACGTCTCCAAACAGGACGTCATCGAAGGGATCTTGGATGTAGACATGGAGGCGACGCGTTCTGAGGACTTCCTGCTTTATGTGAGTGGAGCCAAACTGCTGCCTGGTTCTGTCCCACTCGCTCACAGATATGGAGGTCATCAGGTAAATAAAAAAGAAAAGAAAAAAACCACCCTTTGTTTTTGTTTTTTTTAGAGGTTGTATTGCAGCACTTTACAAAGTTAAATTGGTCACACATTTCATCGCTTTTATTTGTGTTTTTTTACACGACGTAGTGGATGATTGAAGGAAAATAATTCCAGTTTTCAAAATTATTCACATATTAAAATCTGGAATTTAAAATTTTCTGTGGATTTCTGTGCGAAATTCAAACTCTTTTATATTCTTACCCACCCATGTCAAAGTTTGGCTACTGGGCAGGACAGCTGGGTGACGGCCGAGCACATTTACTGGGTCAGTATTTAAACAGGTGAGGAGCTTATGTGCTTTGTTTTCATTTCAGTTTAAAGTGTTGCTTTGTGCTTATAGTTTTTAATACAAGTCCAACTGTACAGGAAGGGGGAAACCTGGGAGCTTCAGCTTAAAGGATCTGGGAAGACTCCATATTCAAGGTTAATGTTATTATGATTATTATTAACAATTACCATTGGCTTGATATATTTGCAGTCCTGTGCAATAGTATTGATTTATCCCTGATTTCTTTATATTTATATTCATTTTGTGTGTTATATCATGAAGTCTCACTTTTTTCCAAAACTGGCTATTAAACTATAAATATCTACATCAAAACATTAGAAAACAATTTCATTTAGATGTTTTATTAGCATGCTTTTATTTTGGTAGGAAAAGCTGTCTTAGATTTGAAAAGGATGAACCTTTTTATTCCTGTTTTAGTGGATATTTATTTCAGTCATGAAAAAATCAAGTCAAATTAAGTTTGCCCAACTTGTTTTATTCAACTTGGCAACTTATAAACTGAATAAATTAAGTTCAATCAACTTGATTCAACTACCGTACTTGTTGCCATTTGAAGCAGTTCATTTGAGTTGGAGGTTCATTCTCTTTTTACAGTTTACATTTAATCCTGTTAAATGGCTAAAATCACACATGCGCTGTATGACATCAGAACAGCATTGCTATGTATTTTGACAATAGATCATCCTTTTTCAGCATCAGACATTTTATTTAGACAGTTAGAGTTAAAGTGATCCAAAGAGCCGTCTGAGTCCAAAATAATGAATAGCAGGGGAAACTAAAGCAATAAAAGGGTTAGTAGTGATTTATCCTTTAGTGAAATAATTAACTAATTTAATAATTGACTAGTTGTTAATTTGAGCATAGACTCTTAAAACTGCCAGCAGTGTATGTGCATATTTAGATAGTTCAGTTTCTGTAATTATACTGTGTTCAGAGCTCATTAAGTAACAAAGTTTTAGCTTTACCTGACTCAAATGCTGCCATAAAGCACACCTGCTATCCAGTTATTAACTGATTACCAAAAATAACTTGCAGCCCAAGCAATCAGCCATCATGACTTAGTGGAACCTACAGCAAACTCCTGCTATTACTAACATAAGAATGCATTTCTGGGCAATCAGACAGAGGCTGCTAAGTTTACATGGCATTAGTGGTGATTGTGGAGCTCTCTAAGAGAAACATAATGGCCTGCTTAAAGTTTGCCAGAGAAAATGTAGACAAAGTGCAGCACTGTTGGAATAATGTTGGACAGATGAGCTTAAAGCTTATTATGATTAGATGGTATGTTTGTTAAAAATCAATACAATATTTCAGGGAAATTATCCCTTAGGTAAAGCATGGAGGTGGAATTGTGGTGGTTTGGAGAAGCTTCAGGACGCATCTGTCTGACAGTCAGAAAATCCTGCTATAAAATCCGTCGTATCAGAGGATGTATGAGGAGAATCTGTCAGAAATGTATTGCCAAGTAGTTTTCTTTTAAGGTGTTACACGTAGACAAGCAAACAAGCATTAGCACAAATAAAAAAGAGAATATAAAAATGGGAACAATCAGATGAAAGTTGTATATGAAGCAGAACTGGACTCAGCAGGACATTACCAGCCCATCCACCAAGAATGTGCTGAGATTAAAAAAGGTGAGGTTCTGGGAGGAGTTAAAGAACCAGATCTTGATCTCATGAAGATGTTTATCAAATGAGCGGAACATGCAGGAAACCCTTACCGACACTTCACAGGTGAAAATAAGATCTGGGTCAAACATTTCTCAGACTGATGTCAGAGATGGCAGATGGCTACTGGAAGCTTCTCACACTGGAAACACAATCTAGAAATAAGTAGAAATGTCTTAAATTAAGTGTATTTACCCTTAATTTGAGTGAGTAAATGAGATGATTTGCAGATGGAATGAGTATTTTTACTGTTAAAATAAGATAATTTGATAATATGTACTTGAAACAAGAAAATGCAATTGTGTTTTCTTATTGTAAGTGTAAATTGTCTTGTTGCATTGGCAAAATGTCTTACTTACATCCTCAATCCAAGAACAAATACACCTATTTTAAATAAGATTTAGATTTTTTTCCAGTGCAGTGACTTATTTTAGCCACAACCGGCTAGTCAAGCTTTCTTTTGAAAGGTGTGGCAGTAGTTTAATTTCCAAATCACTTTAGAAAATCTTGGTACTAGATGTATGTAGAATAAGCCACTAAAGAACACTGTTTTAATCCCATGGCAGGTCTGGAGATGGCCGAGCTGTGATCCGCTCCTCGGTCAGAGAGTTCCTCTGCAGCGAGGCCATGCACTTCCTGGGGGTTCCCACAAGCAGGGCCGCCAGGTGAGTAAACATGCCCATCCACTAAACCTTAATTTCGTCTCCTCATCACTTGGGAATCTGTTTATTATCGGCTCAGTTGTTACAGACAACAAATAAAAGCAGTTTGAGATCCACACCACTAGGGGGCTCCTACATCTGCCAATGGACTCTTCTACTAACAGATGAAACCTTCTCATTCGGAGGGAAACACCTCAAACCTTGGTTATTATTTCAAAGTGTCTGATGACTCCCCTGATCAGCTTTTGTTCTGTTTCAGCCTGATCGTTAGTGAGGAACCAGTGCTGAGGGATCAGTTCTATAATGGAAATGTGAAAACAGAGAGAGGTAATGTGAATTAATCCCAGGTGCTGCTCACTCTGTCCTCCTCCTGACGTTCCTTTTCTCCTCTGAGCAGCAGCTGTGGTGCTCCGGGTGGCCAAGTCCTGGTTCCGATTCGGATCCTTGGAAATTCTGGCTGAAAATGGAGAAATCCATATTTTGAAGTGAGACAGACCGCTTCATCTTGCTTTCTTGTTTTTTTTTTTTCACTCTCTTTCTTTAAAACTTTGTAATCTTATCTTTTCACGATTTCATTGTAGAAAGCTACTAAATTTTGTTATTCGGGAACATTTCTCCTGGATCCCTTGGAATGACCCAGATAGATATTTGGTGAGCTGTTGAACAGATCTGCCCTGTCGGGTGTGTGTGATTACTCTTGGACTCTAGCGTTGCCATTCTCTGTCCTTTCAGGTGTTTTATTCAACAGTTGTGACTGAAACAGCCCAGCTGATCGCTCAGTGGATCTCCCTGGGGTTTGCTCATGGTGAGAACTTCTTCTTCTTTCCCACGGTTTGCCTTAATAACCTGCTAAATCAGCTGTTATCACAGGGGTTTGCAACACGGATAACTTCAGCCTTCTGTCCGTCACCATAGACTACGGACCCTTTGGCTTCATGGACTCCTATGACCCCAGTGTGTACACGGCATACAGTCTTTTTCTAATAAAATACAGAAACATCCTTCTCCTGATGAGTCTTTTGCTTCACAGATTTTGTTCCCAACTCCTCAGATGATGAAGGAAGATACAGAATAGGAGCTCAGGCTGAGGTTGGCTTGTTCAACCTAGAGAAGCTCTTGGTGGCCCTGAGTCCTGTGCTCACACAGGAACAGAAGAAACAGTAAGAATGTCTCAGAAATGCTTCTGCTCTGAGGTAATAGTGTTTAATAAATTAGCATTTTAGACAGAAGAGGAGATCAATTGAAAAAACCTGCAAAAATCTGTTGTTTTGATGTGTGGGACATTAAAACTAATGAGTCTAATTCATATAATCCCATTAAATGTCAGCCAATTTTAAATCACAATTCTGAAAGTTAAAAATGAGGAAGCTGTTTGTGTCCTAAGCCATAAAACCGAGTAAAATCGTTCCTTTTCAGGTGTGACAGCGGTTAGCTGTCACATCTGACAGATCGACTTCATTTATACACAGTCAGTTTTGCAGTGTTAAAGTAACACTTTCAGAGTGCATTTGGTCCCACTCCGAATTAGTGTTAAATTAGAACTCCCTGTAGTGTATATCTTACTCCAGTTGTTGTTCGAATAACTCTTAAAGAGTCAATGTAATGTACAGGGTTTATGCAGGATTTGTAACTCAAATTTAATGCTCTTAAAAATAATTTTAATGTCATCAACAAGTATCCATTCCTCTTCTATATATATATATATATATATATATATATATACCTTTGCAAAATCTTTTGTCATCTTTACCGTGGATAGGTTGCAGCCATGTCCCGAATTCCTCTTTTTCCAGCCACTTTTTTCAAATTTGCATTTTCCCATTCCCTAGCTTTATATCCGCCTTGAGCTTAATTATCAAACTTACGGTTTTACGATCCATCGGAAGCTGTTCCGTGCAAATATATCGCAATATAATATATCTGACGAAACTGTTTTCATAAACATTTTTTTTAATAAAGCATTTTAATTTAAAAAATAATTATTTAATGATTTTTAATGACCCGCGGAAACCCCTTTACTGTGTAAAAACAAACCTGAACTTTATAAATTCTGTTCAATGCAGTTTATTTATATAACGCGTAATCACAGCACATGTCACCTCAAGGCACTTTACAGAGACAATTAAACCAGATCATGCATTCAGTCTTCTAAGGAAAACCAGCTGATTGCATCGAGTCAGTGACATTGCAGGACACGCCCTTCCTGGATGAACATGTGGCGACAGCAGTGATTTGCTTGCATTGTGTGTAATAGAAATAATACAGTTCAAACCAAGATTAATCTAAACATTTAGGAGCAAAGTGGCAAGTAGACCTGTAAAAGTGCAAGGGTGTTAAAATAAATAAATAAAATACGCTAAAATGGGTCGGGCCGTTAGTAAAGTGAACTTAACTCAGGTTGTGTTTAAGTGAAAAGACGTTCAGCAGAATTTGGCACCGTCTGACGCAGGTGTCAGATCAATGACTGAAAGATCAAGTTAAGCTTTGATTGGACACTGGAAAAGATACAGCAAAGCATGGTGAAGGAAGTGTTATCTGCTTCATTTAGTTGATTCATCAGTTTAGTTTTTAATTCTGCATTATATCACTAATAAAAGAGACAAATGTGTTATGCTCAATAGAAAGACTGGGGGGGAAATCACAGAAAAGACTAAAATGCTGTGGAAAAATCTATTTCTGTGTTTTGCTTTTAATACATTAAACTGAAACTTAATTGCTTCATTTTTATCATTGTAGGGCAAAAACTGTTCTAAAAGGGTATCCTGACATCTACAGGATGAGGTGAGCTCTAGTTCCAAGGTTGTCCTCTACCTCAGTGTAACATCTGTCCCTGGGTGTTTTTATTTCATTCTATTTATTTGGTGTTATTGCTCCTGTTTTGGCATCAGAGTGTAGCCTGACGTAGTCCGACTCAATTCTAGTCAGAATATGAGTCTGATACTGCTCCATAGAGCTGTGATTATGGGGCGTGTTTCGAACGAACCAGGAAAAAAATGCCTCTGCACTCAATTGGATAGACCTACAACCAATAAGAGCAACGGAGTGCGTGACGTATGTTAAGCGAGGCATAGTTGTTGTCAACAAAAATCAAAGCGTGCAGTTGCACGCCTATAATAAGAAGATGAGACTTGATCGCGTTTCTCTGTTCCTCTTTTAAAATTAATTTGCTGTCGATATCTTCTAGAACAGACCTAATAGCAGAATCTACTCACCTAAACTCTCCAGCGGCAGCCATTATTGTTGTCACCCAAGTGCGCTTTGGTCACGTGGTTGATTACGTTACTGTTGGTCATCTGTCCATCATCGTATAAAGCCCGCCCTGACAATTTGATTGGATCGCCTGATAGTGGGCGATAATACTCGCGCTACTATGGAGCAGAGCCAGACCGAACTTCCCGTCCTCAAACTTTGTGGGCGGGACTAAGTTAGGAATGGCACCCAGGCTAATCAGAGTGAGGACCAACTCTACTATCATATTGAGGAGTGTTTGTTCCAAAGTGAGGGGAGTGTTGGCCTAGTGGGCTGCAAGTACCCAGTTCGATCCCCACAGCGTACACTGGGTTCCTGAGCAAGACACTTAACCACACACTGCTCCTCGGGAGCTGCACAATGGCAGTCCACTGCTCCCCAAGGGGATGGGTTAATATGCAGAGTGAATTTGCCCATTGTGGGACAATATAGGGATTTACATTTATATTGCTTCCTTTTTTGGTAACGTTTAGGTTTAGCACTAATGTGTGAATTGGTTTTAGGTGGAGCTTAGGTTAGGATTAGCTAGGCTCTAGTTAAGGTTAGCTATTTTTTGGTTGGTTTAACTATGCTTTGGTTATGTTTAGCTATGCTTGGTTAAGGTTAGATATGCCCTGGTTAGGGTGAGCTAGGCTCTGGTTAAGGTTAGCTATGCTTGGTTAAGGTTAGATATGCCCTGGTTAGGGTGAGCTAGGCTCTGGTTAAGGTTAGCTATGCTTGGTTAAGGTTAGCTATGCCCTGGTTAAGGTTAGCTATGCTTGGTTAAGGTTAGCTATTTTCTGGTTAGGTTTAACTATGCTTTGGTTAGGGTTAGCTATGCTCTGGTTAAGGTTAGCTATTTTCTGGATAAGGTTAGCTATTTTCTGGTTAGTGTTAGCTGTGCTTTGGTTAGGGTTAGATATGCTAGCAAGACACTGGAGAACCCACCTCCTTCGTAATACAGCAAATTAACAAAAGACACTAAAGCAGAAGTGTTTCAGGCTCCATGATAAGTGCTATCTGAAAATCTGGTGGTAATAAAGCAACTAGGAAGAGGAAGCAGGATGCTTCCTATCACCAATTAGTATAGATATTTCTTGATGTTCCTAGCCGCCTGCTAGGAGCTATAGATTGGCCCACAATCCTTTGCATCACAGGAAGTGAACAATAATACATTATTTCTCCAACTGTTTTCTGTATTACACATTGTAATATGCATACAGTCATATTTTGGGGGTTTTATAACAGAGAACTTAACCTGTTTGCTTCATTTGTGTAACTTTACTTTTTAGATGCTCTTTCTTGAAGTCTCTAGTTCCAATTTGACAAACCTCACCCTTAGCGTAATGCTGGATAAAGTTTTAACATTGATCCCATGATAGGGTTAGAAACTAGAAACAGGAGGTGGGAGCTACAAGTTTAGGTGTTTAAAAGGAGCCCTTAGCCTCATACTGAGGAGATAATTCAGCCATTTGATTTGAAGTGTGTTGAATCAATGACATATTTAAAACTTACAGGACGTTTGGATGGATGTTTGTTGCCCCTGGTTTAGGGACACTGGGTTAGGGTATAGAAAAGGTTAAATATGACTGTGAATCAATGGAAGTCAGTGGGTTTAAATACATGGTCCTCACTACATATAGGAAGACAAGAATGTGTGCGCTTTGTCATCTTTTGTGTTTTATAATGTTATTTAGTTTGCTTCATTTAATTTTCTTTATTTCTGTATTTCCTGATAGTTTATTCAATAGTTTTATTATGATTTTTTTCGCATTTGTTTTAGAACTGTTAATTTGTTTTAGTTTTATCTTTTTTGTTTAATTTTTTATTTTTCTGTGTATGTTTATCCTTTTCTACTTGACTATTTCTATTTGATTTGATTTTTTTGTTATTTTGCCCCCTTTGTCTCACTTCATTCTTTCCTCTAATATGTTTTTTTTTTTTTTTTTTTTTTTTTAGGATTTCTGTTTTTCTTTAATAAAACTAGTCTATTTTTCCTTGGAATTTATTTGGCTTTAGAGATTTTTCTCACTTTCTAAATTTTCCAGATGCTGTATTTTCAACATATTCACCTTCATTTAACATTTAAGAAATTATAGGTAGCTCTCTATATTGTGGCTATTTCATCATGTTTGTCCGTTTCAGGATTCACCAGTTATTTAAAGCCAAACTGGGGCTTCTTGGAGAGGAGGAGGAAGATGAACACCTTATTGTCTTGTTGCTTAAGGCATGTCATTCATACATTTACCCAGTATATCATCATAAACGTGTGTTTTATGTCTCTGATAAGTTTCATGTCGCTTCAGATGATGGAGGACACCAGGTCAGACTTTACTATGACATTCAGGCAGCTTAGTGAAGTTTCATTTGATCAGCTTCGCATCAGGAACCTCACACAGGTACATAGGAAGATGATCAGATTTACTTTTCACATTTTAAAAACTATGTTGATTAATTTCGCATCCCTTAGCAACCCAAAACATAAATGTTAATTTCTTATTTAATTAAAAACCCACAAAAAAAAATCTTTCCAAATGTGAAATCCATTATAATTAAAAGCTGTATTCTCTAAAATATTGATGTTTTTTGTGTTAGGCATGGGCTCTTGAAGACCTGTCATCGCACAAGCTATTTTCTGATTGGCTCATTATGTACCTGCAGCGGCTAAGCAGGTAAGAAGTCGTGTCTGGGTTTAAAAATGAACAGAAAACCGAGACAAAACCCTTCTTCTGCCTCTGTGCAGGCCACAGAGGGAAAATGATCTTCATCGTCAGCAGAGGATGAAGGGTAAGTCCCTAAACATTCATGCTGAAGCTTGGCAGATGCAAAATAGGAATGTGTCACATGTTCACACCTTCCAGGTGTGAATCCCAGATATGTGCTGAGGAACTGGATGCCAGAGTCTGCAATCAGGAAAGCCGAGGAGAACGACTTCTCAGAGGTTAGCAGCTGAACATTTTCTCTAAAAGCAGCCATGCAGCAACCCTAATGATGCACTAACTATGTAATTTTCTGGTTTGCCACTAGGTGGAGCTGCTGCACCACATCCTGTCATCTCCATATGTTACACAAGTCTCTGCAGAGAAGGCAGGCTATGCAGCAAGGCCTCCTTTGTGGGCAAATAGGTTAAAGGTCAGCTGTTCATCATAAGTTGAATTGAGAAAAACACAAACTCCAAATAAATTAGAAGGCTACTTAAAAAAAGAACTTTACGTCAGCAATTCAGTTCCAGATGTGAAACACTGTTTGATTGATACATACTGTGATATATTAATCTAATTGTATTTGTTGACATTTTTATATTTCTCAGAAAACAAGCAATGCCACATGAGAACTAAAAATAATTGATATGCATTACAGAGATTCCTGTAACTGCTGATTAATTGTGCAGCATTGCAGCCATCATTAAAACTCTCCACAAGAAGAATTATTCTTCTGTACACCGGTGCTTTTCAATTAATTTATTTGCAATATTGTATTGAGAATAAAATCCTGTTCATGCTCTTGCAAACTGTGTCATGTGTCATGGTTTTCATACTTGCTGTTTTTTTGTTGCTCTACTTGTCTCAAAGTCCTCACCTACGTATTAAAATACATCCATTAAAAGACATCTATAAATCTTGATCATTCTCATGAGCCGCCTGAAGCGGCAACATGTTTTGTCATTACACGTAGATTTCAATCTGAAAAACTAATACGAAGAGAAAAGACAATTAGGAAAAATGTATTGATACAATTACTTGGTCTTTGGTGCTCAGACCTCAGCAGGAAATATAGCGCTGAATTTTAATAGATATGCATGAACAGGAGTAAAGAATATGGCTGTTTCCCTGCAGGCCTGAAACTGGTGTTGGAGTGGAGATGGGGTTGGTCAGTCTGTAGACTGCTGGTTAGCGAGACAGTATACTGAGCTTAATGGGGAGATCCAGTGGACTGCATGAGCTGATACTAGAGCTTCACTCAGGGTCCTGGAAGATGGAAGTCCAGTTTGGATAACACAGGTTGAGAGAACCTGTCCATGATGAGCAAGCATGAGCGACAGTGGAGAGGAAAAACTCCCCGATGGGAAGAAACCGTTGGCAGAACCAGGCTCAACATGGCGGTCTTCTACCAGAGTGGTTGAAATGAAACGCAGAATGCAGTAAGAGTCCAGGAGGAATAACCCCTGATGAATTTTTAGCTATGATGGTGGAGGAGGGGCTGGAGGTGGGTTAAAACAGGGTTATCTGAATGAAGTCACAGCGCATCCACCGCCTTCGCACCAGGAGCAGACAAGTTGCGGATCGGAAGCCTTTTAAGATGAGCTTCGGATGCTGATTGGCTTTCGAGGAGGTGTGTTTGAAAGCTGGCTGTGTCGTAGTTGGATGTAGGAGAGCAATGAGTTTCTTCAGTAGAACTTCCGCCTAGGCTCCATTATAATGGGAAATAAGTTCTCAGGGGCAACAAAAAAATAATGTGTTCTTCAACAAAGTTATAGTGAAACCTAACAGGAATATATGTTCCCAATTCTAAACCTGTTTTCTATTCATGTGTTCATAGATACAGCTGTGTTTTTTTTGTTTTGTTTTTTTAAATACAAGGTTATTTTTTGATAGGATTTAAATGTAAAGTTTAAAGTTAATGTATATTTATCTTTTTCACATTTTTATCATTTTCTTTTCTGGAACTTTTACAATAAAAATTACATTGACAATGTAAATGATAATCCAGTGCATGTTCATATCATGGGTAAATTCTTTTTTCTTGTGGGAGGGGGCAATATCAATGTCTTTCATGGGGCCCCAAATTCCTGGCAGCGTCCCTGCTCTCTATAGTTAGTCCAAAAGATTTATTTAAAATATGTGGAGATCAATTGTGAGCATAAAGTCTTCCCAGAAATTAAACAATGTTGGGTTATTTCAAGAATAAACTCACCAGCAAGTAATATCACGGAGATTGCAACCTTTTAAATTATTGTTAACTTGCGTAACATATTGATATATTGGCATGTTTTACTTGATCATTTTTTACCCAAAAAGCCTCATTTGCAAACGTTACACAGCTTACACAGTTTGTGTGTTAAATACTGTGCTAAGTTGTAATGGATGTAAAAAGTTTGGGGGACAGGTAGGGATTACTTTTTCCTTCACTGAAAAAATCGAGAGATTAGCAGAAGAAATTGCTGATTGGGAGCACGGCGGGACATAACATTAAAATCGTGAGTCTGATGAGTAAATAGGAAGAGTTGGCAAGTATGCACCTTAAAGTTCTTTATGGTCCAGTTTACTGATGTAATAAGTGCTGTGGGGCCATTTGACTGATAGCTGCTTGCAACTTTTCGCTTGAAGCATTTATTTTGCTCCACTAAGTCATACTCTGCTATTTAAAATACGTGGATTTCTTCCCAAAAATATCTGTTCGTTAGATTAATGCTGTGATTTCATCTGGACACTTTCACAGCTTCACCCGGATTTCATTGTTATGGAAAAACACAGTGGAAAACAATTTTTTTTCATCAATTTTTTAATTTATTTTTAATTTATTAACGTTTTTGCAGCAAATCATTGGATGCATTTCTTGCCTTTGCAAAATAATGTAAAAGCAGGGAACTGTCAACACCAAAACAAACATTGCAAAGTTTGTAAAACACACTTGTTTCAAAGAGTCCAAAGCCTTTGGCCGTGACTGTAACAATATAACCTCTCATGTCTCTCTTTAATATTTACAGTGCTGTAATTCAAACTTATATACATGTCTTTACATAAGAGTGTCTGTAAAGCGTGTTACAGCTTTAAGATTACACTGGTCTCTATTAAAACACACAGGGAGCCTTTATAGATTTACTTCAAATGATTATTAAGATAATGTTCAGGAAAAGTACAGTGAATGGATGATTCTCTCCAGAGACGGTTATATGGAATAAAGGATTTTATTTCCCCGTTTTCTGCTGAAGCTAATTATCAGTACGCTTCTTCATAGCTGACATCAGTTCTGACATGAAGTCCCCACCGCCTCCTCCTCCACCGCCTCCTCCTGTCAGCGTTGGTGTAGTCCTCTTTGGAGGAGCTGGAGGCATTTTTCTGGGCTGTGCAGCAGCTCGTGGAGTCGCAACTGGAGGAGGAGGTGGAGGTGGTGGAGGAGCTCCTGGTGCTAAAACCACCGGGTCAGGTGGAGGCGGTGGTAGAAATTCTGGTTCAGGGGATGGATGAGGAAGGGATCGGGTAGCATTTCCCCCAAAACTAGCTGGATGTGAAGGAGGAGGAGGAGGCATTGAACTGTAGCCGGTAGGAGGAGGAGGTGGAGGAAGGAAGCCTGGAGGATCCTCAGAGTTGTCCATGGGTGGAGGCGGAGGAGGAGGAGGGAGGCTGTCCATGGAAGGAGGGGGTGGAGGGAAGTTGTTGGACCTCTGCTGATGTGGCGAGGGCTTGGAGGTCAGCGACGGTGGAGGAGGAGGTGGGAGATTAGCAGTGTCCTGAAAAACACAACAAAATGAACAAAGAATATAAGCAGTAGTGGGGACATACTGTCAATAATAGAAGGACATTTTGTGTAATTCTGGGAACAGTCACTGGGATGCACTTCAACCTCAATGTGGGGAATTTTACTACTGGAAGCCTAATTTAAGCTGCAAATACTGGAGGCTCTGTTGAGTACTCTGCACCTGCAGCTTATTGGAAAAGCGCTCGTTCCATCCTCCCCTGTCCACTGCAGCAGGAGTGAGTCCTTTGCCAATTATTTGCATCATGCCTGTTATGCTTCAAAATCTAATTTTGACCCTCAAACACCAGTACAGAAATAAAAAAAGGACCCAAATCTTTGTCTGTAGAATGTTCCAGCACCCTAAACACTGACATACCCCCCCCTTATTCATGTATGTTTTCTGTAATCAAAGATTGTCAAAATGTCGGGTACTCTTATTAAATCTTAATTAATTAGCTCTTCAATATCAGCCTTTAAAAATCTTCTAATGCTAAATTCATGTTTTTTCCAAACAACATTTCTGGGTTTTCTGATATTTTAGCCAATCTTGACAATATTTTCACAATATAAAAAAAAAAAAAAAAAAAAAAAAAAAAGAAGAAAGATAATAGGCTGGAAGGATGGACAGAAGAATGGAACAAAGAAAAACCACAAGCAATAAAAAAAAATTGGATGAATGAATGAAGAGCATCTGGAAGAACAGAGGACATTGTTTGATTTAAAAAGAAAAGTCTTAAAGTTTCATTTTGAAGGTTTACCAGATGAGGAGGTCCTGCTTGTGGTTTTGGAGCGTGGCCGTTTGCTTGAGTTGCTGTTTTGGCTGCAGGAGACAAAAAATGCGAAACAGTTTCAGAACCAGAACAGGATTGAACTAATATCCCAGGTGAATAAAGCAGAGGATCGTGAGCCGTCCTACCTTTGATAGTTGGTGTCGGTGTCGACGGGCCAGAGCTGGATGGAGTGCTGCGGTTTGTCCATATAGCAGAGCTAACAGCAGCCTTCCTCTCTGCTGTTTTGAAGTTCTCGTACAGGGATGCACCGTACTGAAAAAAAGGGAGGAATCATTGTGGTAAAACATCTGAATCTTAAATTAATATATGTGTTCTTCAAATATTACCTTAGCGATCCTAATCCCGGTCACCCACAGGTTCATGGTCCAAGCGTCATCACAGCAGAGATATTTGATGTACTGAGACTCTTTCTGGATCTGAGGATGCTGCACAGACAAATCCACATTATAGTTGTTGAGTCGACCATAGACTATTCTGCATACCAAAACTTTCTAGAATTAAAGTGTTCAGTGGCTAAAAGCTTGATGCAAACATCATCAATAAGAGAGTGGCCCCAAACACAGCAGGAGGTCGAAAATAGAATGCCTGAAGAAAAGATTAAACTGGCTGCAGTGGCCTAGTCAAAGTCTGGATTTAGATGCTGTTTTTGGACTCAAAACAGAGAAGTACAAAAAGAAAAGTCAATAAACCAACAATCTGCAGCAATGTTTAAGAAGAGCTTCAGGTAACTACTAAAGTAGGTTGTACGGGAAAAAAAGGGTCGGACTCAATTTTTTTTTTGCACAGACCTTTTAAATGATGACTTATTTCCCTTTGGTAAACACTGAAGAGGTTGATGTAAAAGGTAAATATATGCTTTAGAACCTGCTATATACCAGCTCTGTTTAGAGATGCTGGTTTACTGAACTTTACCTCAGAATTTCTGCATTATTTCAATAAAAAAGTTAATGTTCTTCAGTCTGAAATATTGAGACTCCACCGGAAGCACTCCTCTCTCTCTGACCACCTCCTTTTGATTAGCTCACACTCAACAAACGGAAACCCTTGTGTCCTTGTGTTGAAAGAAATTTAAAAATGCATGAAGGTTTCTGAGTGGGGGACCACATGAGAGCAATATGGGGCTAGATGCACGGACCTCGAAGTGATTTTGAACTGATCTTCTTTCCCTGACAGACCAGCACACATTTAACACAGAGGATCAGGCGAGTATAAAGCAGCCCTGTTCAAACATGAGAACAAAACCAGGAGTCATGGTCTGTTTGCATCTGTGCTGGAGGACCCCTTCAGGTTGACAATAACCATGCAGTCTGTTTTTCCCCAGAAGAGGAAGTCAAATTTCCCTGTAATGGTTCATCAAGGGGGTGGTTCTATAACCCCCTTTTAGCAGCCTCTATACACACCAGCTGTGATGAAGCTTGACTGTTCTGCTGATGTTTTTCTAGGCGTTGCGGGTTTTTGCGATTTATCTGAACACACCCTTATTCACTACACAGTCAGCTAAAGTTAGCTCCACTAGTTACGTATTCATTTCATCTGAGCTGTTGGCGATGATGCATCCTTTCCCCTTGATCTTGAATCTGAACTGATCTTAAACTTGTAAGATATTTAAATTTAAACTATGATAACTCATAGATAACCCAACAAATATTGTTACTACTGGTTGCAGCAGCACAATAAACATTAAAGGATCAAGATAAATCCAACATTTTTTTAAAATGACACTTTCAGTGATCAAAAAGTTAAGAAATATTTTTTCTCCAGAGATTTTAAAAGAGAGACAGGCCCACAGCATCATAGATTCCCTCCATACTAGTTGCTTTTCCTCTTATTTACTCTTTTTGGATGTTTTTTTTGCTGAAATGCTCAATCTTAGAGTGTTTTCACACCTGAGGTTTTGACGTCGGTTTGAAACAAACTCTAGTTAGTTACCTCCTTTGGTGTGGCTTGTTCGTGTAGATGTGAAGATAACAGTCAAACTAGATCTTTATATGGTTCCAAATAAACTCTTGAGTGGTTTGCTTATGATGTAAACGCGTTCCATTCTCGATTTAACTCAGCTACCATGTGTTTGCTGCAGGCCTAAGATAAATGCCTCCCACTAGCTAGATATGTGCTTAATTGTGGGATACATTAGCATTAGCAAGCTTATAAAATATAGCTGGGCTTCTTTTTTGTAAATTAAAAAGGCCTATACAACTTTTAAGTTGTCTTCTCAAAACCAATGTGATATACTTGGATAATTTCGCCTGAACATTCTCTATGTTTTCTACTAGCTCAGAACAGGAATTTCCGTTTTTCCACTAATGCCCTGGACTCAACACAGAATAAATGTTTACATCTGATTGGAAGTGCAGTGATCAATTGAGGGCGGTCCATCTGAATGATGCTGTGCAGCTTGAGAAAACAATTCAAGAATGAAACAAGATTTCTCCAGCACATTCAAAGCACACAGGTAAGACACATACAGTGCTGCTTGAAAGTTTGTGAACTAGTTGAGTAGTTTAGATTTTTCTTTATTTTTACCATGATTTTCTTATTTTTTCATCACCAGTTTTTGTATATGAAATGTCAGGTTTATGTTCATCAATTCCATTCATTTGTTTTTTTAGGAAAATGTGGGAGTTGAAAGCAAACTAAATGAAAAACGGAATCAGAGCATCTGCAAAAGTAAATGAACCACAGCTGCACTGATAAAGACAATCAGGTAAAAGACTCAGGTGAAGCACATGTTAGTGCTTGAGTAATCAATTAAGCAGACCAATCAAATGAGACATTCTTGGGAAAAGTTTGGAGGTGCACTGGTTAAAAGGGAGACGAAACCAAACAAACTACTGTTGTGTCAAGGCATAAAGACCAGATCAACAATGCCGAGAGGAAGGGAGACATCTGAGGACGTCAGGAAGAAGGTGGTGACAGCCCATCAGACTGGGGAAAGCTATAAGACCATCTCCAAAAGATTCCAGCTTCATCCATCCACTGTAAGACAAATCATTTACAAATGGAGGGCACTAGGCATCACTACAACTCTGCCCAGATGTGGACGGCCGTCAAAACTTTCACAAAGAAGCACCAGAAAAATAATGATGCAGGTAAAGGCCAACCCACGCATCACCTCCAGAGAATTGCAGACCTCTCTGTCAGCGTCTGGGATAAATGTACATGCGTCTACAATCAGGCGAAATATCAATAGACATGGCATTCATGGGAGAGTTGCTAGAAGGAAGCCTCTGCTCTCAAGAAAGAACAAAGCTGCACGTTTAAAGTTTGCCAGAGAACACTTGGACAAACCAGAGGCTTTCTGGAAGTCCATTCTCTGGACGGATGAGTCCAAAATTGAATTATTTGGCCACAATCACAGGCGCCATGTTTGGAGAAAAGTAAACACTGAATTTAAAGAGAAGAACCTCCTCCCAACAGTGAAGCACGGTGGTGGAAATGTGAAAGTCTGGGCCTGCTTTTCTGCCTCTGGACCTGGACGACTCCATATTATCCAGGGAACCGTCAATTCCCAGGGCTATCAACAAATTCTTGATCAGAATCTCTTGCCATCAGTCAGGGAGTTGAAGCTGGGACGGAAATGGATTATGCAACAAGACAATGACCCAAAGCATTCCAGCAAAAGTACCAAAGAATGGCTTAAGAGAAAGAAGATTTGCACTCTGGATTGGCCCAGTCAAAGTCCAGACCTCAATCCCATAGAAATGCTGTGGCAAGATCTGAAACGAGCAGTACATGCCAGATGTCCCTCCAACATCTCTCAACTGGCAGAGTTCTGTAAGGAGGAGTGGACAAAAATCCCAAAAAGCAGATGTGAGACACTTGTTTGTGGTTACAGAAGACGTTTAGTTGAAGTAATGGCTGCAAAAGGCGGTGCCACAAGGTACTAACTGAAAGAGTTCACATACTTTTGCACTTGGCATTTTTTCTGTCTTTGACAGATAAAATACTTTTGTTGAATAAATAATAAAAAGATGCATCTTTTTTGTCTTTGTGTTCCTTATCTGGAAGGTCCGCATTACAATTTGAGCTTTGGATGTTCATTTTACATGATTTTTATAATTTTTCTTTAGAAAACAATGGCCATGTTTGGATGGTTCACAAACTTTCAAGCAGCACTGTATGTTCCCTGATGAGAGGCCTTTGAAAAAAGATGTAGAAAAATCTAAATCTTTAACCCTTTATAGGGCAAGTTACCGTTTTTGATCACCTGCATACCCCTTACAAATGGAGTCCCCACCATCCCTCAGTGAGGTCCAGAAGCACAAGATCTATATCCAGACATTCTGTAAAGATGCTGCTACATGGCTGTGCATCTTATTTTAGCATTTGATCAATTTGATGAACCCTTGAATGATATATTACCTTCTGTAAATTCAAGTCAAAAAAGTCGAGAAAAAAAGGTAAAAAGCTAATTGAAAAGTTAAAAAGTAAAGTTAAAAAGTTAACAAGCCGAGTTAACAATTATATTTAGGTTTATAAACTAAAAAATGTAACTGCCAGTATCAGCATAATGCCTCTAAAGTTATGTTGTACCAAAAAATAATGTGTTTCTTTCACTCTCAGAATGTTTTTCATGAATTTCTTATAGAAGCACTTTATTATTGTTATTATTATTATTTTTACTGTTATTTTTCTTAATAAATTGGGGCAAGTTGGCATTTCTTGTTATTACATTGACATTCATTTTTGCCATCAAAATATCCATATTTTTTGAATGTTACAAAGGTAATAAGGTCTTGTCCTGGATTTCAATAACACTATTGGCTTGAAATTTGGATTTTAAAAGCATTTTAAGGAGTTCCCTACAAAGAGGAAAATTTTGATTAAAACACTAGGATGTCTAGATAAAACTTATATTTCTGATACAATATCAGCACCTATCAAACATACTTTTATTCTGCATTTCTGCAAGGCTTGAACGAGGGATATTTTTTAAATGGAGAACAATAATCAACTACAATAGGTCAGAGAACAACTAACTCATGTATTATTAACCAGCTGGTTACATACACAGAAACAGATAGAAATGCAGAGTTCCTATCAGCTTACTTATATCGATTTTTGGGTCATATCTGACTAATTTCTGATATCAGATTAGGAAATCCCAATAGAAATCAAGGTATTTGTCTTTTTACTAGCCATGTTTCTTATCTTCCAGTGTTATCGGTGAGTTAGTCAAAAGCCGACTTTGCTGGACAGATTTCATTAGCTTGGCTTGAGGAAGCTTTTTATGGGAATTAGAGACCAGATCCTGATTTTACTTAAACCTTTTGATATAAACTTTAACTGTTTAAAGAAAATCTAACTTTTGTTGCTCTTGTGTACTTTCAACTTGACGTTTTTTGCCCATGTGGTAAAGGTTTGGACATCACTGATCTGCAATGGTCTGGTGGTTCCCAGATTAGATAGGGGAAAAGAAAGAAAGCTGACTTTCACATCCCTTTAGCTGTTACCAAAAATTCCTCTAACTCCTCCTTCAATGCATGTCAGCATGTTTCTGTCTATCCTGAGTCAATATTCACTGATGCTATTTTTTCTATAAACTGTTTAGAAGCATTTGGGTATTGATAAAAATAATAACAGGCAAATAAATAAGGAACTATTTTACAAAAGATTTCAGCTAAACTCGATGAAAATGTCTCCTTTCACTTCTTCAAATTCAAATATCTTCAACATCTGTGTTTCTCCATAAGCTAACAGCTGCACAGCCTGACCTATAAAAATCATCCTTTCATCAAAAACCTCCAAATAATGGAACAGCGTCTTGCTCGTTCAAAATTAACTTACCTTTAGAACGAAGCAAAAGTCGGTCGGGGCCTTGTATCTGTTTTTGACGTCCTTTCCGTAGTAAACATTTACGTTGTCAAACTGGACATAGCAGACGAGATCCCGGGACGACTAAAAAAAGACAAAGCGAGGGTTTAAGGGAAATTAGACGTCCTCATTTTCAGCAGATTTTATATTTAACTGAATGCCATTTTAACTCCTCCAAAAGTACTGTAATACCAAGGGATGTGTTCAGACTTGTGGTAAAGTGCTAGGAGATTACGATCAATTATTCTAAATCTTTTTACACATAAATTATGATGTGTATTTTGCACAATTCTTGTAATTTTAATTCAGTGTCAGCATTCACTCTCTGTTGGTAGGAAATCAGCATCTAACATCTTTACATGCCCATCACTTTTAAATCTGTCTTGCAAATTCTTTCAGATTTAGACCTCTTGTCCATAACCCTCTTTAAGCAATCCCATAGACTTTCTGTCGTATCTAATTAGGGGCTTTGACTAGGCCATTACAGAATTTAAAATTTACTCTCATGGAGTCTTTGAGTCTTTTCTATGTTTGTTTTTTTTAAGAATTCGACCTAGAACCCTAAAGGTTTTGGAGCAGTCTCTAGTCTTTTAAACTTTGTCAAAATTCAAATTTCAGTAAAGGACCATCAGACCATGGTGCCACCAACACAATGTTTTAGAAGGAAATGGTGATGCTTTTCATGTTTTTCTGAATAGGGGTCAAATTAGAATTTGAAATTTTAGCCAAAAGTGAAACATTAACTCCATCTGATCCCATTAGGTTTTCATCATTATAGCCAGATTTGGGCGCTTTCTTTGGAAGAAAGTTATTAATTTATTTGAAAAAAGAAAATAAAGGAGAAAGATTTTCGATATACATAGATTATAAGTAATTATAGTAATTATAATCTAATAACTGAGAGGGAGAACTTGAATATTTTCTCTCTTCTCTTCGCTCCTGCTCTGAATCCTGAGTGCCAACCTTTTAAACTCTTTTGAACTTTTATTGTAGGTGCAGATCTATCTAAATAGGATGCTACTTCTTTGTTTTACATTTAGTCCAACATATCTATGTTAAATGTTCTTAATAAATCTTAAATACATTTTTGACAATCCACTGTTCCATTCAGCGTAGCATATAAGAAGCTGCTTGCTAGAGCTTGATCATGTATATTCTTAAGTCCATTCAGAACCACTGAAAGGTGGCTAAATTTGAGGGGGGAAAAAAACTACAACAGAAAAAAAAAAAAAAAACAATAGATGACAGCAAGTGACGGTGAATCATGATCCATTTACCTTAGTTTTTCCTTTGGGGACGTAATAAATTCCTGAGGCTCGTAGCTGAAAGAGCCGCTGCTTCCAAGACTTCTTCCCATCTTCTTTCAGGAACAGCACCCCTTCCAGGTCGGGAACAATGATAGATGAACCACAGAAGTTCTCCTGCACAAACAAAAACAGATTACAAAGAGAACACAGGAAAGGAAACAATGCTTCACTAAAGCACTTGAAATTTTTCATTTACCTGTACCAATAATTCCTTGTCTTTGTCTTTCATATCCTTGAGTGTTTTCTTATCCTTTTTCCAAAGATAAAAGTTCTGCAAGTGATGAAAGATTTGGATTATTGCTATTTTCATTGTCACAGCTTGTGGTTAGTCTTTAGAGCTGACTATCTTAGCCTGTTGACTGCTACTTTTCTAAAATAAGATATTGTGTAGAGATTTTTACTACCGTACATACAATAACAAAACGAACAAATCTGCAAATCCTCTTCAAGCTACTATAATTTGATGCCTTTGTTGAAGCAAAGTAGCAATTAGTTCTGCACAGAAACACATTTGTCTGCAGCCTGTAAAGATATAGTGGAGGATTTTCGTGACTTTTTGAAAAGTCCTGCCTTATTGCATGCCCGCCTTCTCCACTTATAGCTCATACATGCTTACTTTCCAAAAGAAGATTTGCAATTTTTACAGAATTTTATCACTTTATATAAACATATCACAAGAAAGAGCCAAAACAATTATGAGGACCACTTATCTTGATGATCCAACCGGAAAAATAACATCCTCCACTATACCTTTAATAGTACTAATAGTCAAACTGTTGGAGTTTAATTCCTAATTGAATGGTCCAGGTAGGATTTAACAGATTTCAGAATATTTATCTAGATTAGAAGTTTATCAATTAGTCAAGTAATCCAGTTCTTAACTAAGAAAACCAGTCCCTGATTATAACCCTACTGCCACCATGCTTTAATGCTGGTATGTTTTTCCACTGAAATGCCGTTAGTTTGAGCCTGCTAGATTTCTCTGCTGCCTCACACCAAACCAAAAGAATGATTAACAACCTCTTGCAGCACTTGACATGCTGAGGGGGTAATGCATTCAATTAAATCAGGTTTGCTGGAGCAGAGACACATCTAAAACATGGATTGTGGGCCTCAAGGACCATGGTTAAGATATAGTGTATTAGATGTTGATCTGGGCTCTTTAATCTCCTGGAAGAGTCATTTGATGCATTCTTAGAAATATTAAGGTAACTCCTTCTCAGTTTGTGGATAATAGCCTACCTGTGCCTCACTGGAGCCCAAATGCTTTAGAGATGGCTTTGTGACACTTACCAGACTGATCTATGTCATTTATCCATTTTTTTCTCATCTTTTTTCACATCTAGCCAACAATGTGTTAATTTTTGAGACTTTTTAAATTTAGGTTCTACAATTCAGGCCAATATCAGGCCTAGTTGTAACATAACAGACTGTTCATTCAGGATTTCACAGCAGCCTTTTTTAAAACACAAAATCAGATTTGTCTGGAAAGCTGTTTTCTCTTTGCAAATAAAAAGATTTTTTTTAACTCAGATTTTGTGACCAAATACAACATTTGTTTGATAATCTAAAGCATTCCAGTTTGGGACAACAAACCAGTAGACATAAGCCATGGTATAAAAGATTTGTGTGTTTATTAGGTGTTGGTCTGAGGCATCAAGCAAATAGTGCATAGGTAGCAGGATTGCCATGAAAAGATGGCAGGAGCAAAGAAGACGGTGCAGAAATGTCAGGGAAAAACCTAAACGCTGATGGAAGTTCCCCAAATTCCCTGTAATCCTTCTACATGCTAATGTTTCGTGTTAGTTGTAAGGGGTTTAACTAACCCTGCCAAGGCAGCATGCTAAATTACATTTAGGAATTGGCTTATAGCTCAACATCTTGGACTCTAAATATCTCCATAAATTGTATCTTTACTTTTCATGTCATTATCAGTGCCTTATTTTATTTATTTTTTTTATCAAATACAGATCTCTCAGACTGTCCATAAAAGAAAATACATTTTACTATCCACTCGTTCATTGCAGCAGACTCCCAAGGAAAAAGCTTTGGATATAGTTGTCAAAAGGTAAACATGTAAATGAACAGAGATGTTCTGTCTTTTGTTGGAGCCAGTGATAGAGTGCTTCGGTCTTATTTCAGCCAGGCTATTTGTCTCTGCCAACAGACTGAATCCATTAAACTCTCTGAGATTGTTAAGTGGCCCATTATAACAGCAAACATGCCAAGATCTCATTGGCTGCAAACTGTTGTGTCTGATAGATTGCAGCTATGAAAAAAAAATGTCTGCCTAAATTGAGGTAACCTATCACACAAATATCCAGTAATTATATGATATCATGCTGCTTGCTCCAAATAGCTGGATCTGGTCTGTTTTAAAACTAAAAACTTGACCAACCTGTGGGTTTTTAAAAACCTCAAATTTATCTTTTCTCTCCTGGAAGAGGACTTTGTTTTCGCTGTCCCTTGTCCATGCAAGGAGCGGCTCCACCAGGTTCTCATGGTCCTCAAACGTCCGTTCTGTCAGAAGAGAAGCAAACTTAGGAATCAAAAGAGTATGATCATATCATCTGCATATGGGTAGAAGTTCTATAGCATTACAAGGATTATTGACTTATTAGCATTAAGTCAAGTTGAGTGCCTGTCTCTAACCTTTTTAAGACCAGATAACAAGAGGTGTGTTGTAAGCCATTGCCCTATTTATGGTACACAAAGCTCGGGTTAGCATGTGGAAATTAAATTTAAATTGACACAAGAATTAAGTCACATTTGATCTTGCTCAGCTTAGTCCTATAATTATTGAGTTACACGTAATATTTAATCTAATTCATTGCCGTAAAATACAATCCCTTTGCCTTAAAATTTGTTCAACAGCTTCTCAAATAAGTACTATGAATAAGTAATATCAGCATAGATGTTTTTTAAGCGCTACTGATGTGTTTTTTTTTCAAGCTAATATAAGTGTTGCCTTAATTGTGGGTGAAACTTAATTAGGATAACTATTTATTATTAAATTGTCTTAAGATAAACCAAAATACTTCATCGACACTAAATAGAAAAACTATTTACTAAAGTGTATTTCTATACTATCCTACTGCACTTCATCAGTTATGCATTTAAATCACCCCCCACACACACACTCCCACACCCCAAATCAGGAGATAGAGATGTTTAAAAACAGAACCAAAACCACAAAGGGAGAAGAGTTTAGAGGAACTTACTTATTGAAGTAAAACTGTAATTTTGTATAGGAATCTAAAAACCTACAAAACAAATGCTTTCCCCTAAAGTAGGACTATTGCTTTGCTCTTAGCTACAGCTAAGGCCCAAACTATGCAAAATGAAGTTATAGCTAAGCTGCAGCCAAGTTAAAGCTATATATGCAAGGATGAAAACAAGCTAAAAGTAAACCACAGCCCAATACAGCTAAGATCTGCTTGGATAAAGTTCAACTTCAACAGTGAGCTAGGCTTACTTTTAGCAGCAGCCATTGCTCATCTTATTTGCTATAACCTAGAAACTATATTAGCCAGGCATTGTATTAAAGGGGTCATAGAATGCAAAACCGAGTTTACATTGTCATAGATGAATACCAATAGTTTAGTGGATGAAATGAACATACAGAGAGGTTCAAACCCCATCTACACCTCCTTTATCTGCAAATCTCACAATTCTAAACTTCCACCGTAAAACGGGCGAATCCAAACGAAGCACCAAATTGACGTAAACTTGGGGATGGTGCCTTATTTGGTTCTGACCTGTACTTTTGTCATGCCCCGAAACTGGGGGGTTCGGGGTATGAAGTGTCAACTGCTGGGCCGCTGAGTGGACCTGACCTCAGCATAGAGCCATGAGCCGCCCGTCCTCAGCTGGAGGAGGAGGGGCTGGACGCCGGTAAGGCAGGATGGGGGGAAGCATGGGGCGGCAGGTGTCCAGGCTATCATCACCGAGTCGGGTTCGGTTGCTCCGTCCCCCGCTGGCTCCCTGCCCCCGTCCGCCGGGGTTAACAGACCAGCCCCGGAGTTGAGGGCTCGGTTTGAATACCCTGTGTGTTTTGAGTATGTGTTGCACGGCCAAAATCGACCAGAATCCCGGACGATTTTTGTTTCATTCTATGCCTTCTAACCAGGCTTGCATTAGGGCTCATACAACAGCAAATATGCCATTTTCAGCCCAACCAATGTTAGACACCTTATTCAGAGACCTTAAGGACCAGCACCAAAAACCCTATAGAAGCATTCCATGACCCATTTAAAACCAGTCACTTAATTATCAAATGTCCTGTGAAAGAGTTTTGTTTTGTTTCTCATTTCTATGTATTTTATTTGTTTTGTATTTATGGTGGTACTTTTTTTATTTAATTTAGATCCATGTAGATTATCTAATACTGACATAGTCTTTATTAAGCGCTAGATTATTGTAATTGGATATATTGCTAGTGCACAAAAATACTTCATAAAAACTGTATTGGATAAACTAACTGAAAAGTCAAAACAAAATAAAAGGACTGAACAAGAAAGTTAAGGAAATAATTTTTTGATTCAGTTTTAAATTTCAGATGTAATGGTTCTCTGAGGCCAGAAGAAGCCCTGCAATACTAATAAGCTAATAGTTCAGTTTAAAAGTTTCAAACTTTCCAGTTGGAGTTACATAATCTCTCCATCATGATTCTGCACTTTTTGGTTCTGTTTAAGTTTCCTTTTTGAGTTTTTCAGTTATGCTTTGACTCATGTATTTCTGTGTTTTCTAATGTACTGGTTTAATGTCCATTTTGTGTTATTCTAGTTGTTTTTGGTTATATTTTTTGAGTTCTTATATATTTCTTGTTTACCCTCTCTTGCCCTCTTGTGTCAGTCTGCTTCTCCTAGCTCCCTTCTAGATTCCTCTCTCCACACCTGCTCCCAGTCTACTGATTAGCCTGGTCTTGGTTCAGTATCCCATTTTTACACCTTCTTTTCCATCACTGTTTGCTGGTTCCTCGTGTGTGTTTTTCCTGATGTCTCTTGGTGTTTTGGTATTTCTGTGTTTTTGCTTCATTTGCCACCTTTTTGTTATTAAATCTGCTAGAAACCACCTCCAGCTTCAGTCTCTGCATTTGAGTCCTCTTCAAACCTCCACTCAACCTGACACTGAGGTAAATGTGTTCCAGTTTTCTGCTTGTGGACCCAATTGGCTGCTGAAATTAACAGCAGCCAATACGGCCAATTTTACAACCATTACAATGAGATTGGCCATAATAAAGAGTAGCCTCCATTTTGAATGTAGAAGCAATGTATGGTCTTCTTGGTTAAAGTGGGACTTAAGATTTCACCGTTTTGGAGCACTTCAGTTGAGTTATTTCCAGAGATAAACTGAACTCAGCATAATTTTTTTTTGCACTAAAAAAAACGACAAGCAGCTGATATATAGTCTAGTCATGTTAGATAATTTGACACAGCCTGTTTTTTATCCCTATGCATATTTAGCAGTAGATCTACTTCAAAATTTTTTTAAAAATTCTCTAATTCTTAAAATCCACTACTGTTTCAAAGGGTCTAAATAAAGATGAGAGGTGCTTGTCTTCATAATAAACAAATAAACCCTTGGCCCACCCACCAACTTAGTCTTTCAGATCTCCGTCACACGGTTGGCATTTGAACTCAGTTTTGCCACTGTCTCCAAATATAGCTCACCAGCAGGGGAAAAACTGGGAATTATATAAAACTGCTGCCATGGTTCCAGACTACAGCTAGACTTCTGCAATCATTAAATTAGCAGCTGGAAATGAACTGTTAGGAGTACAAATCCCTTTGAACTCCATTTCAGTAGTGTGCATGGTAAGCACATGTTGAAGTTTTGGAGCAGCAGAGATTTGTTTGAAGATGTGTTTCTGTTGAGTTCTACGGGTGTTTATTGGGCCTGATTCATCTTTAGCTCTGTGAAGTTGAAGTTTAAATGTAAGCAGAGCTGCTCACATTCAGATCAAATATAACAAAGTCAAGAAGGAGGTTTTGACACGTTTAAAATGAGCCTTCTGTGAAAAGACTTTTTTTCTTTGAGGTTGTGATGGTGTGTAGAATGGCTGACATGACATAAGACAATTTCACTCCACATGCTTTTGTGTCAGGGCAGCAACGGTCATTTTTTTGCAGAGACAGCATTTTGGAAATAGTCATCTGTGTGTCAGAGAGTTAAACTAAATAGGAAGGCAGGGTTAAATGTTTGGGAAAATAAAAGTAGCACAAAGGTTACTGCTTCCCATTCGCTTCGCAAATAAATTAACTGCAAAAAGGGAAGCAAATTCAGGTCTTGACCCATAAAACAGTTGATAAAAATGCAGTTTTTTTTTTTTAACAACTGATAAAACAGATGGAGCTTAAGTAAAACTGTCTCTTCTTTCAGCAAGTTAAAATGAACTTGAATGACGTTTCTTTCCAACCACACATATTGTGCTCTCAAACACCAACATAACCCAACAATTTAATGCTGCATTGTGCTGCAGGTCTTTGCCTCACATTTTCATTGCATAGGGGGTTTCAGGAACTACTGATAATAGCTGTATTTAACATTTCCTGAAGGAGTTAAAGTAACATTGTAGCACATGGCCTGGATAATGTGATGCTGGCGAGGTCCTGAAATTGCAATAAATATAGCTCGGGCAGACAATCATGAGGCTTTTATTTCCGCATGACAGAGGGAGATGACTGATGGTGTCTGACGCAGCACCTGTTCGCACTAACTTATGTTAGAATATAAGCAGGAAATGACATAAAGTGGTTATGGGGAAATATAAGATGGGAGAGAACTGATCATCTAGATAGAAGAAAAAGATTGAATAAAAACAGTAGTCTTAGGTATACTGTTAAAATATATACATATCTGTAGTCCGTCTCTATATAGCTTCATATCTGTCTCTTATGTTTCAACGTTAATTTAAAACAAATAGACTTTTCTTTATATAACTTTTAAGGAACTTCAGCTTTCTTGCTTATTATTGACCCAGTTTAAATAGACGTTAGAGGAATTCACACGACAGAAATTATTTAAATCACAAAAATGCAAAAGTAAATGCTATTAATGGCTTTCTCACTTAGATGTAACATACCCAACACTCTACTTCTCGTAACTCTTTGGGGTGTGATTAAGATGTATTGCAAGGTGTCTGCATTGCAGCTATGCCTCTAGATGACTTATAGTTTTTGTAATCAAACCAAACTAGTTAAACTTTCTTACTTTGCACCATTTCGGTGGTTATTTTGACCACCCCTGTCCCCCATGTCTTTTGGAAGATAATGATAGCAGCGTCACTTGATGGCGGCCATTTATGCACTCACCTAGCTGCAGCTCGTGGTTCGTCTCGCACAGACTCCAGTCTACATTGCCGTCACAATGCGTCTTCTCAAACAAGTTGTCCAGAACCTCCCTGACTGTCTGTCTCTCGTCAACCATCAGAGTCTTGGAGCTGCCATCGTTCATCAGCACCTTCACCACCAGCTGTCGGAAGAAAACCCAAAGAACATAAATGTACTGTTCTTTCTGAAATTTATACAGAAATGTAGAAAAGAACGAAGGAGAAAATACCTAACAAAAACAAAACTTGGAAAACTGAGGCTTTAGTAAATGATTATGTTTTTAAAACATATAAATATAAAAAATATAACCGCGGATGTCTGGGGGACAGTGATTCGCCTACGTTATGAATGCTGGCGTACCATAAAGAATAAATTATGAACAGTTTAGTTTGTGCCTTCAAGTCGACTGCCCATAGGAAGACGTTTCTTGGATATAACCTAACGGAATATCTTCAGAACAGCTCCAAATGACACAAGACTCATATGTGTGAGTAGAACACGTAATGTAATAACGTAAAATCAAGGGCCCAACGTAAAAAAACCCCAAAACAACGGCATTCCCCTTTAAGAGAAGCAGCTTCCAGTAATTAAAAGCCAAATTATAGCTAGGTTACAAGCAGGCAACACCGTGGTATTTCTTTGGTTATATCTGCACCTATTAAAAAATATATCAGAATTTTTACTAAGGCTGCAACTAACGATTATCTTGCAAATCGATTAATCTGTTGATTCTTTTTTCGATTAATTGATTATCGGATAGCAAAATGTTCCTTCAAGAGGATTTTTTTTCCACAAAATTAAACAAGGAGAATTTAAAACTGCCAATTGAGGATATTGACAGACGAGAAAGAGTTATTATTATTATTTTTTAAAAATCTTAAATGCAATTACAATTTTGATATAAATGCTGCTCTTAGTAGGTTGCTCTGTCAGCAAAAGACACATTTTAGAGTTTCTATACTCCAGTTTACAATTAATTGATTACTAAATTAGTTGCCGATTATTTCAATTAATCACGATTAATCCAATTAATTGTTTCAGCCCTAATTTGTACTGTAATTAGCAGCTCCATCCGTCTCAGTTGTTGTGTCTTAAGGTAAGACGCTTCACCCACTTCGTCCACTGATGGCGGACATAGGGCCCTTTGGTGCCTCTGCGTGCGATCTCTCTTCTGTGATGGAGTCCCAGGGCAGCGTTGGCTGCGATGTAGCTCACCATCAGTGTGTGAATGTGTGAGTTAAAGGGTGAACGACCAAATGTAGTGTAAAGCACTTTGGTTTCCTTGGGCTTGTTAAACTGCTATACAAATACAGTCTATTTAGCAATGGTAAACGAGTAGCTAAAAACCAGCTGTGTTTTTGCGTTACATCACTGCATGTAAGCCGCCATGGCACCAGACATGCTGACAAGTCAAAGAAAATAACCAGCTGTATGAATGAAGCATCACAGGCCAAGACAACCCTACCCATTTAATGGAGTAAATGTAATTTTTACACATGTTGCATATTTATGTCATAACTAACACTTCAGTGTTTTGTAAACTGCAGATACACATTTACCGTTTTTTTTTTTTTATGGAATGTAACCAAAAACAAAGGGAAGCAGATACAAGAAGTTTGTATCATGTGTCTTAATTGATCTAGTTCAAAATACAATAGATATAAGGGAGGGATTTCCTCTGACCCAACAGTCTGAGTGGACTCAGTTCTCAGTTATGATGTGTATAGCACTAGGCTTCCAGAGTAAGACTAAATCCAGCCTATAAGTATATGCAGCTTGCTTCTGTGCCTCTTTAATAACATGTACTGCACATAAAATGACTGTTTTTCTTCAAAATGTTAGCTTTAATGAAATAGCTGTGAGCATCATCCCTTCAGTAATTCATTTCAAAGGTCTGTATGTAATGGAGGGTCCTCAGCCAAAGCGCTGACTAAGATTTATTTTAATCTAGGCCAGTGGATTTACTCTTCCTGTCATATGGAAACAAGTCCAGCTTTGGAACGCTAAGGACTTCTCATTAAATCAGCTGACTTCCTGTCATCATGCACATATGTTTTTTTTTGTGGATCTTATCAAGGCTAAAGAAGACATAATAGGTCTGGGTTTGCTGTGCTTCATATGGTTTTTAATAAAAATCAGATATCTAGCTTTTCTCTACTTGTATTGCACATTTCAATTGTCCTCAGAGACCACTGTATACATCTGGAATTAAGACGGACCAAAGGAAGATCTGCTGAAACAATAAAAAAATGTGTCTGGATGTTTGTATGTCACAACTCATACTCTTATGTTTATGCAAAAATTTGTTCACCAGGTTTCTTTTTGGAGAACATTGTTTATATATTCCTGGGAAAGCATTTTGTCCAAGTTTTAAACATTTGACTCAAAAAATCACTCTAAAATAAAAGGACTTTTTTTTATTATTATTATTATTATTGATCAGCATGCAGGAATCACCAAAGCTTAAGCCTGGACTAAACTGGACACAATTCGAAGACCAAGGACAGGGAAGGAGCCAAATACAGGAAACATCTGCTACAGCTAATTAAAACATGTCTGCTTTTGTGCATGTCAAAACTCAGGCACAAACTGTATGTTCTTGCAGAAGTGCTCATGTTATTTTTGATCAGCTACAGCATGGAACTAGGCGACAAATAGCAAAAAGGTCAAAGGATGACCTCCAAATAATCTTAAGACAGCAAAGAAGCTACCACTAAGCAATGTGGTCTTCCACATCCTGCTTGACAAAGTTACATTGTGCCACCAGATGCAAACTTGACTATATTTTGATGCAAAGCTTTACATGCCAGCCTATGTTTAGCTGCTTTGTGACACATTTGAAAATGAGTAAGTGTTACTCAGAAAACAAACTGCCACCCTGAAGGATGTTTGCTAGATAAAAATAACCATCTGTAAATGTTAGTAATTTCACCTCGAAAAGCACAGAGGAAGATAACCATGGCAAAACTCACAGCTCGTCTGAATATAAAGCATTTTCTATCTAGGTAACTGTAAATCTTACCTTTTTAACTTTGGCCTCCTTAAGCTTCTCCAGGGCAAGCTTGATTTTATCCGCCTTCATCTGAGCTTCTATTTCTTCCTAAACAGAATAAAGGAACTGAATTAGTTGATGTTGGTTTGAATTAACACTTGGATGTTGAAGGATACATCATCCATTTTCAGTTCTTCCTTTTCTGACCTTCAAAAAAGCCTTTTAAATTATGAATCACTTTAATTGTCCTATACTCTAAACATACAGTGGTTAACAGCATAATCACATCTAAGATGTTACTTTCTTTTTTAAAAGCGACATTCTAAGTATCATTGGTTACTTTTTCTAAGACATTTTCTCACTAGTACTCAACTATTTACAAAGAATGTTTTGTTTTTCTGATCCCTACTACAGTGATTCCCAACCAGAGGTACGCAAACCCCTAGTGGTCAGCAGGGCATTGCAAAGGGCACATGAAAATATTGTATTTCTCAGGTAGTAAAAGAAAATAAGGGTTGATGAAAACAATGTAAAACTAATTAAGTCAGTCTGACTATAATTTTGTTCTGTAACTTGTTCCCCATTCATCAAGTTTATAAGTGATTATGAGGGAGCTCAAGTTTTATAAATACAGGTTTATAATAGGATTTGATTTTGTATTTTGTATTTTTTTAATTCCTTACTAACTTCCAGGCCACGTACATATGTTTTTCATGTATTTTAGATGGAAAGAATATTCCTAAGAATTAAATGCTCAGGTTAAAAGATATAGTAAAAGTGTTTTTATTTTATAATCAGTTATTGTACATTCCACTTTTGGACGGTCATCAATACTTTTGGCTGAGTGGGGGGTACTCCTGGTAAGACAAAATGCTCAAAGGGGTACACCGGTCAAAGGTTGGGAAGCACTGCCTCACTACATCATTTAGACACTGCAGATTGTGCTCAGGGGCGCCTGTGCATAGCAGCCTCACATCTGTCAGTGAGCCCTAGGGCAGCGTTGGCTACACCACAGCTTACCACCATCAGTGTGAAGGTTTGCATGAATGAGGGAATTACTGAATGTGGTGTAAAACAATTTATACAGTAAATAGCATCTACCATTTATTTTATTGCAATGAACCAGTTTTGTTTAAACTACTTCAAACAAGACACAGCTTGTTCCTTTTTCGTTTGCTATATACATATGGTTAATATGGACCTGACATCTTTAATTTTAAACTTCATCTTTATTTTTTTTTATTGCTTTTCTCCACATCTCTTTCTCAGGTACAATTACCTGTCATGAAATAATAAAAAAAAGGGAGTTATAATCCAAAGGAAAAAGCATAGAAAGCTTTGAAATGAGAAAAAAAAAACTACTGATCAAGAAAAAGTGTGGTTTAGTTCCTTAGGAGTAAATTGTTAAATATGTTATATACCCATATATTAGTTAAGCGCTAGACATTATTTTAATCATACCTTAGCTATCTCTTAAAAAGGAAATAGTGTTGTTTTCAGTTGAATTTTTTTATAGATGGAATTAATAAAATTTTCCCTCCAGTCTTTTAGTTTCAAGCAAACAGAACTATTATTTATTTCAGGTATGCAGTAATGTCACCAATGAACATTTAAAGATTGCCTGTAGCTTAAAATGAACCTGTACACATCTCGCTTACCAATGATGCAAGCTTTGCCTCAGCACACTTGGTGTTTTTTACCACGATAAAATGAGGTCACAAGCTCTGTTAAAGCAATAAGCATCCGTCTACCATACCTATATCCAACCATTCAAGGACTGACACTTTTTTACCTCCACGGGACCCCCTGATCCTGTTACAGTCTTCACATGGTTGTGTGTTTGATCTGTTCCAGACAGGCCCTCATCTGTTTGCCCCCCCCCATAACTTCAACAGATGGATCTACTTAGCTTTGACCTCAATGTGTGTGACAGTTAGAGAACCTCAACTGCTTATTAGAGGTTTACAGAGAAAAAAAAAAGAGCAAGAGCCTTGTCAAAATTATCTTCAATAAGTTAGATGTTTTTTTTTTTATTACCTCTGGTTATGTTTTGTGTTTGTTTCTCTGCCTGTCCGTCTGTGTACAGGATAACTTAAAAAGTTATGAATGAATTTAAATGACTGTTTTACCAAAGGTGCACCTCATTCCAATGAACAATCCGTTACATTTTGGTGATGATCCACGTTGCAATCCGGAAGCAGTGATTTTTTTAAAGGATTCTTTAGAATATAAAATCCCTTTAATGTCCCACAATGGGGAAATCCTGGTGTTTACAGCAGCAAAAAGATGATAGAAAAAATGGTCACATAAATGTGGTCCTTAGAAAAATGTATAAGGATAACATACTAGTAAAGAGTTAAAAGATAAACAATAAAACACTGCACTGTAAAGTGTTTTAACAATATTAAACTGTGCACCTGGAGAATAAAATAACCAATGTACAGCTATAGCCATTTTTACAGTAATGGATATTTGAAAAATAGCAGCAACATCAGATATGTGCAAAAATAACAACAGCATATTTTACTAAGGTAGAAACTGCACAAAATCAGCATGAATGTAACAACTTATTGAGGTTTTTGGGAACAGTGGCGGTTATAGAGTCTTACAGCTGCTGGGAGGAGGGATCTGCATCGACGCTACCTGGTGCATTTAGGGTGCACCAAATAACATTTGGCTGACAGCCTCGGCATCGGACCCAAAAAAGTCCACAACTATTATACTGAAAATAAAAAAATAAAACACAGGAAAGGTGAGCCATGCCTCGCTTAAAGTCTCAATCTGCTGATCAACCAAGAAAGCAGAGTGCAGAGTGAATGGAGGAGAGAGCAGAAGAGAAACCAGAGGCTGCAGAAACACACGCCTTGTTTATAAACTTATGAAAGGATTTTAAGGAAATTGTTACCAGAGGTGCACCACATACCAAGGAAGAATTCATTAAAATCTGGTAATGATCCAGATCATGTGTGAGTTTCAGCTATACAGTAGGTGTAAGTCACAATTTGGGGCAAAATGTGGTACTAGGCAGAGGTCTGCGCTCTCTGAGTGTTTTTCAAGTTTATTTAATAAAAAGATTCATTAAAATCCAAATACATTTAAAAAAAAAAAAAACGAAAACCACAAGTTTAAAATCATTGTGGGTTCTCTGATCCAATGAAATGTATTATTAGGTGCTTAAACAAAGATAATTGGTTAATTATCTTTTTGCAAGTATTACCTTGACCTGATGCTTTTTGTGGCAATATCTATTTATGCATTTATTTATTAATCTGCTGTATTGGTAGAGTTTATTTAAATTTTCTGAACTATATGAGCCTTAACTGGCTTTTAAGCATACTTCCAGAGTTTAACAGGGTTGAGATGGGGACCAAAGACGAAGAAGAAAATTAGACCGTGATTAATTCCACCCAATTGGAACAGCCATTTATATGTCCATGTTTGTACTGACCCAAATTATCACCAATAGAAAAAGTAAACAATAAATGAATGACTTAAACGATAATAAAAAGTGCCAAATAAAATGCCTTTCAAGCCGGTGATAAATGTATGTAACCTTCTCAGTTAAAAGGACAAAATATGACAGCTACGTTTCTGTTGTTCAGCCGTATACCTAAACAGAAAACTCTTTCAGATGTTTTGTTACCTTCATCTAAACTCTCACTTCTTTTTAAAAAAACCGGACCAGTTCCTGTTAACCTACTGTAAAAAGGTCATTGCTGATTGTATTTAAAATGAGGCGCTGTACCATTGTGGGCTTTGCTGACTGAGGAGGAGGAGGCGGCAGAGGCGAGGTGTTGGAAGAAGATGGGGTGGTGACGCTGCTGCTGGTGTTGTTATTTCCAGGAGAAGTTGATGATGATGTAATGGAGGAGGCAGGCTGGAAGCTAAGCCCTTTAGGTGGAGGCGGTTGGTCTGATGAAGATGATGGTGGCACATCCAGACCTTGTATTTCTGCTGCCAGTTTCTCTTCTGTTGCATTGAGGTCGGCCACCAGGTCGGCCATGAGGGCGTCCAAGTCATTGTCTTCTAGTTCGTTTAGGGACGCTGAAAAAGAAGAATGGAATTATCAAGACATAATCCAAATGTTTCAGAATACTTAAAAATTAGAATAAAGACTGAGAAATAATGTCCAGTTAAAGAAAAAAAGACTATCTCTGTATAACTTGTTTTATTTAGCTTCCAGAAACATGGTATATGGGAGGTTTTCTTTCATTATAAACACTGTGATTTACTTTGAATAAAGAAACCCAGATAAGTCTGCTGATGCACAATTTTGTCATGTGATGCATTATTTTCCCTTCAGATGCTATTTTTAGTTTTACTTCCAGTTCTAAATGTCATACACTAAAGAATAAACAATTACTGCATGAATCAGCAATGATGAAATAAACTCTTTTGATCATCATCATTAGTTAAAGAAAGATTTACTCCTGCGTTATAATTTGGGTGTGGGATTATAAGCTTTTTTTTTAGAGCAGCTTTTCTACACAAATCTAAGCATTTAAGTTTTTTCACATGTTGACTTTCAATCAGGTGTTGTTAAATGCATAATTGCCTATTTCTAAACTAAAACTGATGCATTCTTTTCACAAAATAATATAAATTTTAACACTTATTTTCTTCATTGTTTTAATTATTCAAGTTCACATATCTATCTATCTATCTATCTATCTATCTATCTATCTATCTATCTATCTATCTATCTATCTATCTATCTATCTATCTATCTATCTATCTATCTATCTATCTATCTATCTATCTATCTATCTATCTATCTATCTATCTATCTATCTATCTATCTATCTATCTATCTATCTATCTATCTATCTATCTATCTATCTAATCTCTAATCTAATCTCTAATCTAATCTATCTATAATCTAATCTATCTATAATCTAATCTCTAATCTAAAATATCTATCTCTGAGTTGTTAATTTTTTAGTTGCAGTTTTTAATCTAAAAATGATTCTGTAAGATCAAGTGAAGAAATAAAAGAGGAAGGGGAGAACAAAGATAGGAGTTGCTTGTCATATCTGGGTGTGACCTTTCTGTGAAATACTACTGGTTTCACAGCCTGTTTAGGACACAAACACAAAGTGTGATGAGGCCTTTTTTTCTCAAAGGTTAAACATAAAAGAAAACAGAGCAGAACAGCTAAGTGATTCTCTTTCTCTCTAGATATCATTGGTTACTTTAATTTTCCATTTAACTGATAAAACTGATGACCATGTCCTGTCTTTACTCAACTTTAGACATCAAATGGAGCGCCGTTGTGTAAGTTTTCTCAGAATAGCTCACAGTCAGAGAGAATGACACTAAAAAGTAAAGTCACCATTCAAGTCATTGAAGCCGATGGAGAGGTTGATTTCTTGCTCAGCGCTGGGGAGTGGTTTAGGAGGGACTGTTTCCTGTCCAAGACTCTGCAAAAAATAAAAAGAAAGAGTGTATACTTTTTTTTTTAAGATGTATTCCTTAGAGGTTCAATGCAAATCAAGTTTCTATGTACATCATCCAGTTCTAAAAATAATTCTGAGCATAGAAACTGTATCTCAGTTCTTTGAGACAATGATTGAAAGATCTCTGATCAACTAAATGATCGGCATCTAATAGGCAACTGAAATATATCTAGAGTCAATATCATGATTAACTGATAAATCATTATTTAAAAATGAATATATATATATATTTTATTTTATTTTTTGTATAATTTATAAAAAAAAAATTTTTCTTTACACTACTACAATAAATCCTCACGCAGTAGTTATTTTGTTTCATATTTTGTAGAAAACCCGTTTTATCCTAGTCCTGTTTTAAGATGGTGGAAGGTTTATTTAGTTATACTCATTATTTCAATATTAAATTTAAGTTTGCGTCAGTTGTGACTTTCAACGTGATTAAATCTTGATAATGCATCTATACAAATGCTAAATGCAAAACTTTGTTTTGCATTTAGCTCAATTTGCCCCGAAAAAAAGCGATGTTAATTAATCCATTTCGTAAAAACGAAATATAACACAGTGATGCTATTGGAATCAACCACATGAGTGGAAAACTCTTTTACTTGTATTTGAAAACATTAAATGACATTGCATCACAGCCATTGATGTCCTTCTTTATATTTTTCTTTCCGTGTATTGATTTCTGCTCACAGCACTTGCTGATAATGATTAACTCAACTCAAAGAGAAAGCAAGAGAAATTGAAAAAGTTAATTGGCTCATTAAACAGTAAAAAAAAAAAAAATCTATCAAACTGGTCAATAATTCCAAGAGAATAAGACCTTATACTGAAAGTCCAAAAAAGTTACAAATATTTCTCACCTGCGTAAGGAGGTCCATTTCCCCCAGCAGGTCACTAAACATGGCATCAATATCATCCATCTGAAATAACAAAAATGATTGGTTAATTGCTAAGCTTTTACATGGATAGATTTAAAAAAAATCAGCAAACTTTCGAAAAATAACATAATTCAATAAAGGAAGTGTGACTACAGCCCAACTGGGATTGTCAAAATAGAAAGGGATTCGAAATATTTATAACATAAAACAGGAAGCAACATTGTGTTTTATGAGTAAAGATGCTAATACAATCATTTAACTCTAACACTGCTATAAAGAAGAACAGAAATAAAAATATTCAATTTCAACCAATTTTTTATTTGTTAGTAATGTGCCGCCATAGCAAGCTGCTTTTTAGTTAAGTATCCACCCACCATACCATTGCTTCAGAGATAGGCTGAAGGCTTGTGCGATATGTATAAAGTCATATTCTTTTTTTATAAGGGAAAAAATTAAATATGAAGTAAAATCTTGCATAATGTTCCTTTTTACACACAAAGCACCACCGAATAGCTGGTTGCAAAAAAATTAAAAACAAGCTATAAAGACTAGATACCATTACTTTGTAGGTTGTTGTTAATGGGATCCTTCTAGAATTAATATAGAATTCAACTTTATTCTCATTCCACTGTCACAAGTACAGAGCAACAAAATGAGGGGAGCAGTTGGCTACCATTTTCCAGCGCACAGGGAGCAGTGTGGGGTAAAGGGTCTTGCTCAGGGAGACAGGGTGGTAGTGGGGGATCAAACTCACAACCTCAGGATTCAAAGCCCTAGGCCCTATAACCACTAGGCCGCCACTCCCACTACTATACATAAGAGAAGGAGATACATCAGAAGGACATATGAGAACTAAAAATATTGGGAAAGTGCAAAACAAAATGTGCAAGAAGTAGCAAAATATGTACATTCATCAAATATTACTTTCGTGTTATACTTAAAAAGTACTATTCTACCTGATGCAAAGTTAAAAGTAGTGTTTTGCCAGTGCCATTTTTGGCCCAGATACCGATGCCTGGCTATGCAGTATTGACCGATACCATCTGTTTGAAATTGATATGTGTGTGTATATATGAAGAACTGCATAGTACTTGTATGTAAAATATTTGCCATCATGGATTTGTCAAGCTGTTGCTTTCCTTTGTGAAGCAGGAAAATGACTAATACAAAGTAAATCCAGTATAACTTTTTATTTCCTACCTGGAATGGGTGACAATAGTTAAAATAAACTTTTGGCTCTCAAAATCGCTGCCCTATTTGTTGGTACTCGCCGATACTGATACCACCGTTTTAGTGCTGGATCGGGGCCCTGCCCGATACTGGTATCCGTGCAACACTATTTTAAAGCAACTGGATGGTTGGAAAGTAGTTATCTAAAACTACTCTGAGGTTTTTCTTCAGATTCATGTAAAACATTTTGATATTTGTGTGCCGATTTCTGCAAAGTGCAACTTACTTTCTATAGCTTGTAAAAGTGGTGTTGCTGTGGATGTAATACTAGAGCAATACCAGAAGACAGTAGAAGTAGATAGAAGAAATCCGTGCATGGATTCTTCAGCTTGCTTAAAAATAAAAACATTGCGATAATTTTGAACGATAGAAACGTTGAACACAGCTTTAGTTTCTTAAGGCCATCAGGGATAAGTGGTTAGTGTAGTGATTGACCAAGACCAGAACCTTTAGAAGAACATAAAGACAATTACAAAGTTTGTCTTTCATCACCAGAGAAACAGTTCCAAGTTTAAAGGACTAACGTCTAAACAGGATTGAGAGTCTTAAGTGTAGATCAAGAATCCTGCTGCCTGCTTCCTCCTGAAAAGTAGGAAAGTGGAGCACATCATCTCAGTTAAAAACCTATAGTCCCCTTTAGCTGTTCAGTCTGACAAACCTAAGACACGTAACCACTTTAAGTCTGTAGTATAACTCTGCTTTCTTCTCTTTTTTTTTCTCATATGTTCTGATCATGTACACCATTGTCTTGTTGATGACATGTGCTCTACAAATAAACTTCCGAGACCTTACAGGGGATTTAGAGCCTCCATGTTGATAGCCTCTATATCCATGAGGCATGTGCTTACATTGGAAGTCCAAACATGTTGTAAAGTCAAATTAAATGAGCTATCATCCAGCTATTGGGTCTGCTAGTGTCTATTATTAGAAATCAATGAACAAGGTGGACTGGTCACCCATGCAATAGCTATATAGAAATCCTATTTAGCTATGAAGGTAATGCTGTTTATTTTTTAGATTGTATACTCAGTTGATTGACAGTGTTTTCTAGACAGCAGCTCGAATGTATGCATGACTTCAGAGCCTCAAACCCTTGCTTTTGAGGTTGAGAAATTAGATTTTGTAACCAACTGAGCGTAATATCTGGGCTCAGTGGAGGAAGTGGCTGAGATGAGGGTACTGTCCAAGCTTACATCCATCATGGATTACACCTTCCACCTTCTGCACCAGACTGTAAAGGAGCTGATCAGCTCCTGTAGTGAAAGACTTTTACACCCTGTTTGTAAAAAGGAGCACTACCGCAGTAAATGAATATTCTCAATATTACAACCCTACTAGATTACTAGATTAGATTAGAAAGATAAGAAAAATGCCTGATTTACAATAGCAGACTACATCACCAAGTCTCATCTTTTGCAGATCCACTTTTCTCTACAAGACCGTAACTCCTGGACTGCTTAAGTTATGGTGTTTTAACGCTGCCATTACAAGAAACGTGCGTAAAATGGTGACCATCCAATCACAGACCAGATTAAGTGGCATTTTAGATGTTTGTAAAGTGAGCTTGAGCTGCTGTTTTCCGCTTGGTCCCAGGGCTTGACGGGTGTCTGTTTACTGTAGTGTAACATTGTTTCTGGGCAGTAAAAAGTGCAGGGGACATGTCCCAATGTGTCCCCCTCCAAAAATTACGTCCGTACCTTAATAAGATGTTATTAGATTTCCTTACTGAAACACCATTTGGTGCGATTTCCTTTAAGGAAAACCTAAATTTGATTCCAGTATTCTGGTCGTCTTCTGGCATTAGCTACAAATGTAACAAAGTATCCTTTCTTTGAAGAAAATTAGGCTAATAGTTCCACATTTAAGCAAAAACAAGGGGCAATTGAAAACCACAGACAAGACTTGAAATGTAGTTAACCAAACAAACATATAAGGAAAGGCTGAATGCACATGCTTTCCACACAGCACATGTTGACATGTAAGAAACACTCCTCTAAAATATGTGCAGGAAAGTTTTCCCTGCGGCTACAATATCTTGCCAAACATCTTTAACCCACCTTGATAGGAGAGAGTGCATGCATAACTTCAGGGTTTCGATATTTGTCAAAACCTGCCATGTCATGTTGTGCATGTTAAACCAGTGAGTCTCATTTTGTGTCAGTTTTTCTGTAACATACAAAGCAAGCTAGAGCTGTTAAAAAGGTGCAGGGCACCAGTATCTCTTGAAGCGACCTTGATTTACATCTGCCTTCACACAAACACCACATTCTAACACCAGTTTATATAAAGAGATGCAGTCAACCCTTTTGAAACTACAATATGATTTCAAATGCATGGTTCTAATTATGGTTTGTGAAAGTTTAAAGAGGGGGTAGCTGAAGACAAAAGATTATACAATTTTTAATAAATACAAATCAAACAACCACTTTGAAATCTAGAAAACTATTATCACTATATGATCAAAAATAATTATTAGGACAAATAAAAATAGCCCAAAGAACCACTATAGTTAGAGTGTTTTCCCTGCTCCATAACACACTGTAATTATATACAGTCAGCTGTACCTGTAATGTGTTTTTTGCTGCCTCATTTCTCAAAGTGAATATTATGCTAGTCCTGAAGGTGCCATCAAAACAAGGCACTGGTTGCAATTTCTCACACTGCAAAATAGGCATTAGCAGTAGAAAAGGGTGGATGTGTTGTTTGTTGCCATGATGCAGGCTGATGGTGGTTTGCTCATGGCAGAAATCCACTACAGTTTGCCCTTGACCTTTGACCTTGTACAAGCATCTAACTTTTTCCACCGAGAGGCAAAATGATGATGCTTTTATTTGTTTGCTTGTTACTCTGTAACTGAATGACAAATGGTTGTTGGATGCTAATGTGGAACAATGACTTATACTTCCTAAATTTGATTAACGGAAGTTTTAATATGGCTGAATTTAATCCTCTTAGGGGGATTATTAAAGAATGACAGACCCCTAACTTTAATTGTAGGGTTTGAAGTTTCTCTAGTATTAGTTTTTGTTGATTTTTTAAAATTTTTTTTAGTTAGGGTTTTTTCCTTGTTAGGTTTTAATTTTCTACTTAAAGAAAATTGTGTTTTGGTATTGTCTTAAAACTGTTAGTAGTTTTGCTATATTCTGTTTATTAACTGTTAAGGGTTGGCCAAATTAATTTGGTTTGTTTACCTTTTGCCAGTTGTTTTCTAGTTTATTTCTCTTGCTTAGTTCTTAACATTTTAGTTTGTTTTGTTCAGACAGATACAGTACTCTTAGTTCGTTTATTGCAGTGTTTACGTTTTACGATTTCTTCCTCAGCCAGCGACTTCTGTTAATCAGTCAACGATCACTACGATAAGTGTTGTATAAATAGTGCTGGCAGAAAGGAAGGAACTAGGAAGAAGAAGCAGTGTGCTTCCCAGTGCTAATTCAGTTAGCATAGGGACCTCATGATGTTCCTAGCTGTCGCTAGGAGCTTTAAGGTTGCCCACATTCCTTAGCATGACTGTATTATTTGTAATAATTGTATGTAGCAGTATGCAGCTCTTACAACAAGAACTTTAAGGTACCATTCACGGTCCTACAGCAATCCATTTTATTCCTCTGAGAAACATCAAGATAAAGAAATATATCTGGCTGGCAAGAGCTCACAACAGGTATATCATGTCACTAAATAGAGGTATATGTCCTTTTGAAGTGGGTAAAACTGCTGAATATATCGGGATAAAGTTATAGTACCTGAGTATTTTACTCTTTTTAAGTTAAATAATTTTGCCGTTTATGCCCCCCAATGCAGCTTAATGTATTTCTGATGCTTTATTAAGCTTCTTTACAGACAGCTTAGGAAAATAATTCTGATTTCAATGTGTGGCCAACTAGACAGCCTCAACTCTGCAGGATGCTTCCCATTCTGAGGCAATTGAATATTGAGCCATATATTCCAAACAATGTGCATAGTTAGGTTGTGGAGAGTTTGAGCCGACTTCTTTGGGGGTTTTCATCATATTTGCGAAGGGCACGCTGACTGGAGAGGAAGTGGTAATAGGGTTAACTTCCTGTCATTCTACAAACGGAAATTCTCTCGGAAATGATGTCAGCAACCACCTGCAAGCTTTATGGGCGCTCCTTTCTTCATTCTCAGCACGCCTCTTGGAAGGCGATACTTTAGGTTGAAGTTAAACCCTGACCAAATTTCGAAAAGCCATTTCTTAAGTAACAGCCCTAGATTTACTGCAGATTTTTCCTATTTTCTTTACCATGCATTATATGTTATATTTTGTCATGGCGACCATAAAGCAACCAGTAGGATTTTCGAACCCAGCTCACATAAAGGAAGATTTACTCTATCAGTCAAATGGCTTTGAAATGATAATCTCAGAAGCCCGAATGGGTGAAACAAACACTTTCTCTTACAAAAAGAAAAGAAAAGCGATTGCATTTGGAAGAGTTGAGAAAACATCTGCCAATGAAGACAACATTTGACCTGATCCTTAAGACACTTCCTCCTCAGATAAGGCTAAAATTGAGTCACATACGCAATGGTGCATGCTTTAGGAAGCGTTGCATTGCAGCTGAGAGACAACCACGAAAATGAGTCTCGAGTGAAGAAGGAATACTACTCTAAAATACTCTGATATGATGATAAACAAAATTCTAAAAAAGTCAAACTTAGAAAAACTTTTGATAAAATCCTTAAAAGAAATATGCTATTAAACAAATACCTTTTTGTAGTGCTATGAGGCTACCTTGTACATTTTTTGTTTATTAATAAAAAAAAGACCCCCCGCCCCAAAAACGAAAAAAATCCAATTGCAGCTTACTATAATTTTTTGTTGTTGAGTATAATTTTTAAATTCAAATGAGTTCAGTATTCCTAGATTATAAAATTCTTCTAGTAATGTTAAACGTTGCGTGTTTAACAAGGTTTTTATTGAACAGGGTTTTTAAGTAAATGGCCATAATAACCATTTTACTGTTTTTTGAGGGGTGACTCCCTGCAACTTTTAGATGTGCTTCTGCTTCAACACATCTCAGTGAAATAATCACGTCATAAAGCTCTGGAGGACTTCACTGCATGCTGAGGCAGTTGTTCAGCTATTTGATTCGGCGCTTTGACCCTGGATGACTTGTGTTTGACATCTCTGGTTTTACATTTTGCTGGTTTACAATATATAAAGGTTTTAAAGTTGGGTGTTTAGGTTTAGAAAGACTGGAGCCATGTCAGAGCCAAAAACAAAGACCATCATAAAAAAAATGTTTATAGATGTTTGTTTCTGAAGTTATTAGATGAATTTACTACAAATTATTAAGTTGAACTTATAAAGTTACATTTTTAAAACAATGTGGGTATAAATTCACATCATAACAGCCCTATAAAGCTAATAAAATGTGTTCAACTGAACTGACTAAATTTTGCAGGAAACCTGGCAACCTGCTCATCATGTCATGTTTGTTTGGGCTTGTTGCAGAGCATACCTCACAGTTATTCTTGCATTTTGGTTTTAGTCTTAATCTTACAACATTTCAGCAGTTCTGATTTTCTGCACTTGAAATTTTTTACTCTCTTCAGTTGCACTTTTTAACCAAAGTGAGTTTATTTTCTGAACATCTGGAACTAGGGATGCACGATATAATCGGCCCCCTATCTGGTATCGGCCTGTATCGGCCTTAAAACTGAATATCGGACATCGGCCACCCCACCGATATTTAACCCGATATTTGATCAGCTTCTGAGTTTCTAAAGTCTAAAAAAATAAAAAATAAAAATACTACTTCTTCTTCTTCCTCAAAAATGTCTAAACACGGGGGAAAAATATTGATACATTATAATATCACAATATCTTCATATGCTGATATAATGCCATTTAAAAACACCATATCAATCTCTTTTACTAATGAAATATTGCTAGATGTCTTCGTTATGCTACGAAATCCCCGGAAAATTTACAAAATTTTGCCATATTTTTATATGTTGGTATATTGACGCGGTATCGATCTATTTTACTAACAAAATCTCACAAGAATTTGCAAAATATCACGAGAGTTTGTAACAGAACGATGAAATTTCACAAGATTTTAAAAAGTAAAATAGATCGATACCGCGTTTTTAAAAATCAGTTTGATATCAGTATATGAAAATATATTTGAGTATATTATTTTTCAAAGTGTCAGAAATGGATAACAAAACTGCTATTTTCAATGACTACTTATTTTTGTCCAGCTTTAACATCGATATCGATATCGGTTATCAGCTACATGAGTTTTAAAATATCGGCAAAGCGGATATCGGCCAAAATCCCAATATTGTGCATCCCTATCTGGAACAACCAGCTTTACTCTGATAATAAAAGCGTAATACACTTTAACCAGCTCTGATTAAACTCCAGTTTAAACATGACTCCTTTTTAATAAGAATATTAAATAAGTTAAATCAATTAATTTGGCAATGTGCTTCACCTTTGGTTTTCTTTTGCTTTACTAAAACTACTTCACATTGTGTAAAATATACAGTAGTTGAAAAAAAAAAGGTGATTTATCTGCTTGATTATTCAGAACTTAAGTGCATATGCATAATGTCGGTTAAGTGGCTGTTTTCTCGGTAGAGCTACTGCAAAAAGAAAACAAGCAGTTGGAAACTTAGGGCTATGTTCCCTGTGAGGAGAGATGGAGAGAACAATGACAGTTTTCACTTCCTCTTGCACTGACATCCTTCATGTTTCTGAACTTATATTCAGATCTGAACATAGAGTGAAAATGCAGAACTGCACAACAATTATAAACAGAACAATCTGATAAATACTCATGCAACCTGTATCTACTACTTGTCAAGCATGCTGCATGTTTGCACCACTTTATCCAGTAAGTCTTGACAAAAAGCCTTTAAGATTCAGCTAGTCAATGCAAAACAGACATCTGCTCTACACACCAGCAACTCTGTATTACCAGGATGAGATCTCAATACGTACTTCGGTGACTTAAGCGTGTTTTTTAGAGAGCTGGATTGACTGCAGAGCAAAGTAGAAAAACTCAAAAAAGATAGCGCCTCAGGACATAAAAATCAGCAAACTGAACTGACAAGAAACAAATCAAGATTTCTTATCTTTTTTTGCAAAGTTTTTTTTTAATATAGTTTAATACAAAAGAACCTAAATTTTTCTGCAAGTTTATATATCTTAACACAGAATCCCCCGTTTGCATATGACTCACAGACAGAGTACACAGTGACTAAAATGGTCCCTGACAACACAAAAAACTAAACCTTTACTTCATCCATTTGAAAAGATGAATTTAGTTTACATAAATAAATGCAGATCTAAAAATCGAGATTTGAAATGTTTCTTTTATAAGTAAGCTGTCAACGTTAGAAGATTTTAAAAAACAACCTATCAGTTTTATGTGGTTATTGTGTAAGCACATCAAGTCTCAGGCTGAAGAAGGTTACACCCAGATGGAAATAAACACATATGAAGATAAAAACCCTTTTTATCACTTCATTGTATAACACATGGCAGCTTTATCTCCACAAAATAATGGTGTGGTTTACTAAGCTTAACAAACATTATTTTCTCATTTTCTTAAAATTACTCCTGTCTCTCAGTTGAAGCAAATGTGTAAGATTTTGTTTTTATTGCATCTCTTATAAAGAATCTGTGTTTTGTCAAAGAAAAAAAAGAAAAACCAATTCCCTTCCACAATATAAAGTAACTGAATTTAATAAATATTATAATATTCTGGGTTTTATCTACAAAGAAGAGCAGCTCTGTGTGTTTACCATTACCAGGAGGTGAAACCTTTACCCAGTAGAGATGTAACTCACCTTTTCAAATGTAATAATCCTCAATTCACCAGTTAGTTTCAATATAAAAGCCGCATGGACATTTGCTCCCCTCTGAATTATCGCTCTCTCAAGAAAAAAGCTTAACAAGCCAAAGATGACGGCCACATGCACGCAGATCTGGGTGTGCTGATGTGGATTGCATTTGGGCTCTCTGATTGTTTCTTCCTGCTTTATGCGGAAGTTCAGGTCCAGACCTGTTACTGCATTCCTACTGAGAGCAGAAAACTTTCACAATCCTCTTGTTTAGATCAGTGCTGGACTGATCCGCCCCGCCCCTCTTCACCAGTACTCGTTATCTGGAACTGTCATCACAAAACTTTCTGAAAAACTGAGTTTGCTTTGGGTAGCAGAAAAGATGGTGTCTGAAAAATGCTGAAGTAGTTGAAAGAAATTTTCTGAAGGAGAGCAAAGCTGAATCAGCCATCTTGGTTAATAATTGACCACAGTGAAGCTGATTTACAGCAGGTCTTCGGTCAGGAGTGGTAACTCTGAGCTGTCTTTGAGTCTGACTCTGAATAAATTCATGTACTCAATGTATCTCCTTAAATCAACGTATGATATATGTTATACCATATACTGATGTCTGTGATGCCTTTCAAAATAACAACAGAGTAATACATAACAACAAAGTAAAGGGAAAAAATAGCTGAAAACAGGGGTCCTCCACTTTTATAGAACCACAGCCTTTACATGATCACAGCTGCAGGTCTTTTAGGCTGTATCTCTACCAGCTTTGCACATTTGAAGTACAAATTTTAGCCGATTTTTCTTGACAGAATAGCACAAGTTCATTAAGTAAACTGCATATGTGAACACCAGTTTTTAGGTCTTCAAGTTATAGAGTCTTTATAAGATTTATTTAGATGGTGGCTACACCATTCAGAAGCTGAATGCATTTTTGACCAATGTGTTGAAACAATTTCTGGTAGCTCTGGCTGTTTGTTTAGAATAAGTTTCTACCCATATATCAAATCTTTTGCAGCTTCTTTGGGGTGTTCTTCCCGGATCAACCCCAAAGTAAACCACTACCACTCCATAATGCTATGTCCCACTGTGAGAATGGGGTTTTCAGAGTGATATGCAGTTTGCATTTAGTAATTTTGCATTTAATAATTTTGTCCTTACTTTGCTGGCAATATATTCATAACATATTTATAAACAGTTGTTCTGGAATTGCTTATCTTCAGGGGAACCTGAAAGATTCTAACTGTCACTCCATGAATACGCTCTGGCTGTTATCTCTTTCGTGCAGATGCCGGATTTCTTCTTCTGTCAACCTGAGAGGCGCTATCAAACAGTATTTCACTTCTGTTTTTGAAGTATATATACACACTTTTATGCAAAGGTATTGACTAAGAGACACATTTTCCCCACAGCTTCCTATGTTCTTCAAAAAAGAGTTTGTCCCTGAGTTATGTCACTATTATTAGCTTACTTGAATAGATTTTTTTTTCTCAGCTCTAATGAGAAAAACAGACCACCCTCTCTGTGGCAGAAATCTGTCATAATGGGGAGATGTTGAGCACCACACAGGGAAAATGAGTAACCTCAAATGCCTTCAAGAACCTTTCAAGATGTGTGATGAATTTAGGAAACACCATGGGTGCAGGCGCTTGTCCTAACCACGCTCATTTCCTCTTTGAGGTTGACAAACAGATGGACACCCAAGGCATGCATCCAAAGCACGAATCATGCTGATGCCTTGGAGAGCATTTGCCAAATAAATACTCTGATGAACGGCTGTGGAGTTCAACAGCAGGGAGTGAGGTGATTTGTTTGTTTTGTCTTTGCAACCTCATTTCTGACAAGGAGGGTGGTCCAGCAGTGTTGTTTCTGATAGATGTGATTTACATCTGCTTATCACATTACAGTTTTCTAGTTCTTTATTTAAAATATGTGTTTTCTAAGTCCTTTAAATCTAAATTTGCTTCGGCAATCAGCTGAATATGGTCTGAGGCTAATCACTCTGAAAACATTTAATGTGGCCTTTGATGTTAGACCAATCAGGATCAGATCAAACACCATTAGACCTGGTTGGTTCCCGTTCGGCAGTCCATCGGATGGATCCTGCCTTCCAGGCAGAGAATGGACTGTACTGTTAAGACAGGTAAGTGACTCACTCTGCTAAACATCTCCTGTCAGATGATCATGGTCCTTTACCTGTGTTTCTTCCTCCAGAGATTGTCAGTGATTGGGAAGTGCCTTTCCCCGTAGTTGCTGCAGGTCCACAGATCCACAACAGCCGGTTTCTGTTCCGTTTGTTTTAATAAATGTTTTGAACTTTCCTACTGGCTGTCTCACCTTGAATACTGGGTCCATCGGTCGCGTTTTTATGATATGGTCTGACACTGATTGGTCCCCTTTGACCTTTTTAAAGGATGTAAAGTGTACCTAGATGCAGTTTTAGACAACCACATTCATAAAAGCTTTAAATGCTACTGAAGTGTACAATCAATACAATGTACCTTTGTAACTTCTATATATGTTTCTCTGTTTTTATTTTATATAATTTTTTCTTTGGTTCTCTGGTTCGTAAAATAAAATATGAAGCCCATGTGCGATGACACAGATGTCATTGCATTGTCATTGCAGCTAGGCTGCACTTGCAGCCTAGCTCACTTTCCAATGCGTCACATAGAAACTTAGCTTGGATAATATGTTACTGACTCTGGTTGATGTGATTCTGCTTTATCTGATGCTATTTTTAGTTTTCACAATCAGTATCAGAGCAAAGAGGATAATGCTGATCAGACCAATAATTATAATCTGAATATGACTGGATGAGGCTGACTGGAGTAAAGCTCAGTGATCTAATATTTATTCTGACAACAATATCTGATCTGAAGGTGTCCTTTTGGGGTATCCTAGCTCCCTTTTATGATTCGGAAAATAAAAAGAATTTTAGGTTAACTTGTAAATTAAAGATCTATCTCATGTTCATCTTGTTTGCTTCCACTTTACAGTTACTATTATGAGAAAATTCTAATAAAATGCTTTAAATCTCAAGTGATATGACTTTTTTGGCAAGGTGGTGTCCTCATGATCAGTTAAGCTGTTCAGGACTGTTTAACTACTGAATGTCGCTTCACATTTTGCTCACTGTTGACTTTTCTTTGACCTTCTGACCATCCAGGCAACAGAAAGCTCCTGTAACATTGTGTTAAGCACATCTTGTATGTTGAGACAGCTGCTGGACACTTACACTGACCTTGTGAACAAAAGTCTGCTCTTGACATAGGTAGCTACAGGAGAGGTCAACCTTTTCCTGAAAAAGCAGTTCCTGAATGGGAAACACATGAACTTGTAGGTCATCTCCTACTCCGATGTTTGTGGGAGGCAATCGGAGGTTAATGTAAAGAGGTGCTCCATTATTTGTGGCTTTCTGCATGAAGATTAAAGGTCAAAATATGTTCTTACATCCTTGCAGAAAGAATTACACCTTCAATACAACACTATTTTATTTAATAATATTTCAAGACAAAGAGTCAGTTCAACCAAACCATGAAGACAGATTGTTTAAAAAGTTTTTTTTTTTTTTTTCATAAAACCCAGAGGATTACATTGACCCATTGACTTGAAACATTCCCTCCTCCTGGATAAGTGTTCAGAGACAGTATGTGCTTATGTGGTGTCGGTAGCTCTGTTTTTGTTACAAATGTACAATATCCTGGTAATTCAGATATTGCAAAGTTTCACAATGGGCTCCATGCACAACTCCACTAATTCCTGAACTCTAGGCACCTCTTTTGTTTCCTGTCTTTCATGACTAGGTGAACTGCTTAATCCAGGTGTGTCTGGCCATTACTGAGGTCAGGCACACCTGGATTAATCTTGAGTTCATTAAGTAGTAGAGTTTGCCAAGAGCCTATTGCAATATTTCCACTACATAAAAATATAATGAAAATTTCACATGTAAAGTTTATTCACACAATAACATGAAAGTGGCAGATGTAAACAAATGAGATATATCCATAGTTCAGCCAAGGCACCAGTGGGCGCCATCATCCTCCAACTACCAGACTACTTCTTCTTCTTTTCTAAGGCAGTAAGATCCAGTTGCAGATCACATAACTTGTGTGATGGAAAATAAAGTGTTTTCATTTCAGTTTTGCGAAATATAAGAATTTGATGTGACTACCTCTTCTCAGCATAATAACTTTCTATAAAAAATGTGAGTTTTTTTTTAATTAAATGTATTTTTTCATAATTGGAATTTGCACAATTTGATGGTGAATGGAAAAGCAGCTATTAACTATGCAGAAATCCCCGATGCTAAGCAGGCATTTAGTGGTAGTGGAAAGGAAAATCCCACTTTAACAGAAAGAAGAAACCCTTTAGAAGGACCAGACTCATTCGACATGTTTTAGTCAACCTTGTTTTTTGCACTTTTTAAAGTATTGCATTAGAACATAACGGAAACAGCAGAATTTAAATAACTTTACTAAATTCCACGAGAAAAAATTTAAGTTAACTTGAGGTGTTTTTATCCAAAAAAGCAAAAATGTTATAAAGAGGAGATGGAAACACACTTCTGGCATAAGAAATGCTAACCTCACACAACTGATCAGTTGTTTTTTGCCCCGCTGGTATCATGAAAGCAGCATTAAAATCAGATTTCACTCTCAAAGTCTGGAGTTGGCATGAACCCTTGCTAATACAAATTGACATAATAAAGTAAGAACAACCTGCCTGAGCAAACGGAACCTCTACCATCGGGGAGGGCCACCCATTTCATCACTTCACCATATCATTTCTGAAAGCTTAACAAAGTCAAAGACCTCTCGGGGCAAAAGAAAAGATTTTTAGGGACAAATACATTAGCTAAAAAAACGAGGTTGCTGCCATTAGCTGCTAAAATAGACACTTCATCTTAACTTTAAGCTGCATTCATTGCAATCTGCCTCACATCCCCCCCTCACATATCAGAGAAAGAAGATTTGTTTACACAGTGGGACCCTTTGAAAAATATTCTCTAACAGCTCCTTTTTACAGAACAGAGTGGGGCTGTTACTCAAACAGCAGAACCAATCAGAACCAGAATTACTTTATTAATCGCTTGGGGTAAACTATTTTCTTGCAGTGCAACCGTTTACACAAGAGAGAAAGATTGTAACTACAGAGCAATTAGGATAACTTAGAGATCAATCAAAGGAATTACCACTTTGTGCATGATTGTGTTAATGGATTAACATCATAGCAAAGTTAAAAGGTCAAAAATAATTGTGCATGA